GTGGAAAATTTTAGTTTTTCTAATTCTGCAGGTTTTGCCAAAAATTTAACAACGGAGAACATGAATGGGCATAATTATTATCTATATATTATAATATTTATAGCCATTTCTATAAAGCCATGCTACATTTAGTGCGAAAAATACCTTTTACAGTGAGTTACAGAAAAATCTGAATTACAGAAAATTATATACAATAGATATACAAGCAAGTAAAGGAATGCAGAGGATAATCGAAGGCCATTAAATATAGGGAAATTTCGGTTTTTTAAGTCCAATTACCTATTTTTATGGACTTGCTTTATTTTACATCGAAGGGTTCACTTCACTCGGTCTCTAACTTATTTATAGCTTATATGTATGTTTGATTTACCCCAATTTTTAATATCTTATTATTCAAAAAAAAAGAAAGCGGCCTAAAAATAGTGGAGCTGTTATTAAAGTCTGTGCTGCTTAGACTGGTCTGACATCACCGCACTGAATTAGTACGCACGGATGGACAGCTTTATATTACTGGAGCATCCTCGTCACTTTTTTTCCAAGCTGCACAAGGGTAAATAAATCTTGTACGATGTACCAACCATATTTGAGGTGAAATATGTGATTTAATAAATATGAAAATATGAAAAAAAAAATAGTAATAAAAAAGTAATTAATTATTAGCCAGCAGTGTTGTATGTGGACTACAGTGATTTAAACCCAACGTACTCACCTCAGTAATCTTGTGTTTAGCGAATCCAATCAATACACCGAAGAATTCTCGTCATTTACTAACAAACGTCACCACATGGCAACGACACCTCAGATATAATTAGGTGAGTATAGAATACATCCAAAGCAGTAATTATATGAACCCCAAAAGGAAATAAACGTGAACAAAAATAAGATACACGCTAGTAATCATCAAGTAGTAAGAGCAACTCAATGTAATATACAGTAACTTCATATTTATTAAATTGATCAACGATCAAATTGGCGCCGGGATATTTGAAAAAATATTGAATATCCAGCAACGGACAAAAGTTTAGTTGGTTAATAGCATCTCAATGATCCACACAAATTAGTGCGACATTAAATTTGAGAATGCTTTGGTAATGTATATTATTACTGCTGTTAATGTAGATGAACTAAACAAAAAGTAAATAATTCTTATAAATTATTTCGACTAAAGATATGTTAATACACATATACATGTTGTATCGGCTGTATCTTCCAATTCAAATTAACTAAAAGCAAGATGTTAGAACTAAATCACCGCAATGATAAGGCAAGAAGAATGCTCTACACAAGAGTATGAAGAAAAAAAGATCATTTTCGTTGCTGTTGAATTTAAAAAAAATGTCCTTTATCTAAATACATGAAGCCTCAAAAGCTAAAGCTTAGCTGAGCTTATGTAGCGTTGAGAAATCAAACTAACGAGTTAAGATTTTTTATTTAACATAATGAACTTAAAAATAAGTTACTAAGTTTGTCTGAAGCTCTGGTTCGGCACGTTCATTGTGCTGACTCCTCAATGGCCAGTACTATGAGCACAATTCAGTTCTCAGCTCTTTGTGGTTCTTGAATCTCGTGGAATTTCTTTTTCTGTACTCAGCAATTCTAAATCCGGGCCAGCTTGGTTCGCATCTACGCTGTTTTTGCACCTGTAATAAAATATGTTAAAAAACAATTTTAGTACTTACTAGGGATAATTCATTAAATCGCCAATAAGACAACCAATTTACATCAGTAATTGATATTTGCTTTTTAACTTCCTTCAAATAAGCTGATAACAAAGCTACCACTACTGTGCTCAACCATACTCCGTGGAATCTTTTAGTAACACTGCTGTCAGTATCTTGGAAAAAGGTTATATATCGGTAAGAAGATAAGCAACGTTTTTTTTGCTTCGCCATCTCAAAAAGCTAAACGCACTACGAAAGGACTATGCTAACGTCATCATTATGTAAGCCAACATAATATCTTGCACCAAGTTCTTGGAGATGTTGCGCCGGTAAGGTAGCCGTTTGGTACTTTAGCAGACCGCATTCAAATTACGTCTAACAAGACATATATGGTTGTAACCACACATAATATATACAGTGGGATCAAATTAAAACATACAAACAGATCCTTAAGTGTCGAATTTTACCTTTGCTGGTCAATGTGACGTTCCTTTCGCATTGCTCCTGGACTTCTGTGCCCGAGTAACCATTGGCGTAGTTGAGAACAAGATTTATGTAAGATGCCTTCCGATCGCAGTAATTGCCTAACAATACGAAACACGAAGACAACACCATTTGAGAAAATTGTAGTTTTCATTTATCCAACAAAAACGGATATTATCTTTTTGGTGGGTAAAATGTGCTGAAGGCAATAAAAGCTTTTATGCATGAGGAGCCGTGTACAAGTATTAATAGCATTGCAGCGAGTCACAGCTTTAATATTGGTTGTCAATGCAAGGAGCTAAAACTAGACAACGGCAATGTTCGAGGCAAGTGTGGGGTGGAACGACACGTCAACTTGGGCTACTGTATGTGTGAAAGATGCATCTGTAGACTTTCCTGCGAGATATTAAAACAAGACGCAAGCGAGTAACAATTTCATCATCCATTCTACTGCTGTTACGATCTGTAGGCCCTCGTACGGCTCGACTGCGCATACCGGAAATTCAAAATGCCAAGCAGGAGCCAGTATTTCTTTGAAGGATTCGAGCAGGGCCGACTTTGTGGATGGAGGTGGCCGTAATTCGACTGTAAAGACTGGCTCGGTAAACATCCAAAATTATTTTAGGTGATAGTACCTAAAACCTTGGTTAAACGTCAGTTGTCTAAACAAGATCACCAAAAACGTGTAGAATGATTAAGGCTTAGACTATATTACCGGAGCGTATATTATATTATCGAAGCAACCTAGATAATTGCCCAACCAAAGCAAAAGCAGGCGGTTATTTGGACAATCACATAGTTTGAGGGTTCATTCATTTCTCTACAGGGAGCGCGTACGCATCACCCTCAAGGACCGTGAGCGTGGACTACAGGGGTATTCTGTCAGATGCTGTTCGAAAACTTGTAACATGGCCATGAAAGATCACTGCACATAACGTCTTGATATTGAACTAAGAATGTAAATATTTATTTTGTCGTATCAATAAAGCTATGAAATAAAAACCGCCCTGGCTTACAATCAGTTCTATAATTTTTACAACTGATTTGTGACCTCAGCTGCTATTGCGTCTTCAAATCTACAAAGCTTTGATATGTCAGCAAATTCGCTGCAGTCAAACATTTGACTATATGGAGAAAAAATACGAAAAAAGGATTTTATTATATGAATGAAAGCAACCAACGAACACATTCGCTAAAATGAAAAGGCAATAAACAGGTTTATATCTTATAAAGCCGTACAGATCACATTAACATGCACTATTTTTCATATCTGATATTGCTGTCTGTAATAGAATATAACGTAGTACATATTTGCGAACTACAGGAAAGCCCCAACAAGGTATTTGCGAAAAATGTGTTTTTATAGCGTTAAATAATTTTTTGAATTTATTAAGAATCACACATATTTTTAATATGGTTAATTTACTGGCTCATAAAAACTACAAGGTTTCGTTTATCATAAACCAAACATCATTAGCATAAAGCAAAAAAATCATACCCTACTCTATCAAAACAATAAGTTCAGGTAGCTGCTATATGTTACAATAATGTATGTTCAAATCGGAACGAGCGCATAGGCGTGTTACGCACTAAGGGGTAAACGCATTAAAACATTCAGAGAAACGCGACTCATGACAGAGAGAACGCAAGTTAAGAGAAAAGTGTTAACAGATACTGCAAAGGATTGTAGGAAACTAAAGAAGAGCTGAGATTCTCATATGCCCGTCAATTATTTACTCACGTAATAAAAAAGTAACCTTCGTTGACGGGTGTGTTTTCATATTAATTGTCGCCAACTAGCTTCTAGGTAATAATAAACATATCGTTGAAAGTGTTTTTCTTCTCAAGATCAATTTATTACCTACAAGATTCACAACTGCTGTAACATATTTTAAAACAAGGCCATTGGGTCCTAATATCCTACATTAACCTTTTTGTATATGTTATCGACACCTATTCTTTATTTTTAACATAAAACTATTTCTTACTACAGCTGTTTTACAAATTGACTTATTGTTAAAGTGTTCATCATAAACGTTTTATAAATTGTTTAACTAATACAAACGCAAAACTTTTCAACAAACACATTATTTTAAAACGTGAGATAGAAACGCAGACTCACAATAATTTAGAACTGGAGACGCGTTAACTTTAAAAGCAGCATATTGCCAACGTATCGAACTAACGCGTAAAAAATGATGAATGCAATGTAATGTAAAAATAAGAAATAAACGTTTTGAAAACCAGCTATTATCTACAGGAAACTTCGCAAGAAATGTAAATTTAAATGAACTAAAACAGTTTCGGATGTATCTAAACGTGAGTGCCACTTTGTCCTTGGGTCCTTAGAAAATTAGCAGTAGTAATTGGTGTTAATCTTTTAGCATTTTGCGAATAGTTTAATTGAAAAGATATATATTTCTTGACAAATAAAGCAGATTTTTGAAGCTTTTTTAAGCTTGCTGCTTTTTGCTTTTTAATACACCTCTAACTGACGAGCGTCACTCGCATGTAGCGTCGTGCAGTATCTTCACCAGGTTTTGTGTTTTTCAGACGGGCGACTTCTCAACTCTACCTGAATTCATTGGGTTTGTCGCCTGGAAGCGGGAGTCTCTCGACCAGACAGTGTTTTTCTGCCCAGACTGCATTATCAAGCGCCCCCTCATTCAATTGTTGTTCCTCGTCGACACTGAAATGCAATAAAAAAGCCTTTAGATTTTTCCACTATTACTTTACTGTGCTTTTTTACTTTTGTTCTTTTTATCAGTTTTATCTAGTACTTAGTAACGAAGCGTACGATACGATCAACAAAGGTAGGTTTTCCATAATATTAACAACTTCCGATTTCGGGCTCAGATTTGTGTATGAAAGGTTGTCGCAGGAAGGAGTCAGAGAGCCTATTTTTGCACATGTATTTTCTGGGTCCACTTTATGCGTACAGCATGAAAACGTGGTTCAGAAAATTCATGCGCGAAATTTGAGAGAGTCCAAAAATTAGATTCATACCGAGAAACTTAGTCCACCTCACAAGCCCGTCCAGTTAATAGACAAACGCGTTACAGCTGCATCATTACGAAAGCAATGTAGTCTAGTAGTATACGCAATGCACTTTATACATGCAAAACCGACAAATCCCATAAAAATACTACTTCACGGGAAATATCTGCTTTGAAATATCGCTTTGGGCTAACTTTAATGAGACAAGCAGAGTTCTCGTTTACACCCCGCCAGATATGGTAGTTTTCTTGGAAATATTTGAACCCGTAAACGTCAGCAAACGTGAATGTCTTATGAAAGATGAAGCTTCTACTAATAAAGACGAGCGCGTAATGATATGGTGAAATGCCTTTGCCAACATTTCGCACTTTACTCAAAAGGATACGAACCAGGTTTTAGTAGTTTCAGTAATCATTGCATGCAGCCCGGTAAGCAACTCGCTCCAAGCGAACAAGATGTCTGTCGTCTCTGTTAGACGGCCACAAATCGCAAAACGCAGAATATACCTGGAAATTTGGATTGCCGGTTATCGAAACTTAATTTGACTATTATAAGCGGCAATTTAGACAACTAAAGCATTCTGCAAAAATTCTTTCGGCAATAAAATAAACGTAACTAATATTGAATATAGCTACCTGAACTACTACTAAATTTGAGAGTCAGAAACCATGAAAACGATAAAAAAAATTACACTAACATTTTGCGGTAATCTTCATGCGTCATTGGAACTTTAGTTAATCATAGTTATGCAATTATTAAATAACATAGGTCGCATAAGCTTTGTTAGCGAAAATAGCAACCATAGTTAATTTAAAGTCTAAACGATAGTTTTAAATATGGCGCGCCTTACATGCAGGACACTTACATAAAAATCAATTTAGAAAGGTTTTAAACTTTCGTGAGTAAAACAGTGACGAAATAGAGAATGGTTTTTATCTATGAATTAATATCATGTAGTTCGAGTTACAAGCAGTACGCGGTTTGCAATCTTTAACATTGTATTGATCTTGCACTGCAACAATATAGCGCTGTATGGAATAACATTTCAACTAATGTACATACCTTCCATTGACTTCACAAGGAGACAGGAAAATTTTTTTACGCTCATGGACTTTTTCAAGAAGCATTTTATTTTCGCGGTTTGTACCCTGTTGAAATAAGATGAGATGACAACAGCTCAGTAAAATAAATATCTATCAATTACATGATTCAATACTGTATTATAAGTGATTCACCAACAGTAATATTATATGCAATAATATATTTATAATATAATAATATAATAATAATTTTAATTGAAAAGCTAGCTTTATATTTTTTTACATGTCAAATAAAGTAAAGCCTGGGGCTTTTTGAAAGCTCCGTAAGCATTTTATCATGTTTGTTCTTGATCCATTTAGCTGCAGTTTTTCTTGCAAACGAATATAATTAATTCTTTTTAAATATGCAAACAATGGTTTTGCAACAACGGTTAAGCCATGCAACTGATAATTTATTCTTTTTTTTTGTGTTGTTTCAGGTTTCAATGGTCACGAAGTATCGCCGTTATAAAATTATGTTTCACGTCGATAGCGTCTGAAAAAGGTAGCAAATTTAATTATTTTCACCCAGCACCATTGAATAATCACAAATCCTAATGTATTATTTCAAAACCGTTAGGCTCTATAACAAATAATGACTATTCGGGCTTTCTAGTAGCAACATCCAAGTTTGGCGCCAGCGTACAATCTCAGCGGACGCTTTTCAAATGGTTTCGTTTTTTTGTTTACTACTACCCCAAACAGTACGATATTTTAAAAAGAACGTACGACTGCTGATGAGTGTTTCCCGCTGAACCGATTTGTGTGTGTCTTCCATGAATTTCATTTCTGAGCAGTTGGTTATACCTAGGCTGCTGATGCTACAGAAGGATTGTATAGGGTTATCCTGAGTATTGCGTGGATGGATGCTTTAGGACTAGGCCATATTTTTGAAGACTGGGGTTCCGTTAGTTTTAGAAGCTCGCTGAACCCGTAAAACTAGTTGTGAAGTTATTTCTAGCGACCGCAGCAAGACTTTTTTGTAAGCACCATTACACGCTAAGACAACATCACAACCAACAGGCAACGGTGGACAGAATGCCCGAGAAAACTGAAAAGTAAGTGTATCTTACTGATGAACGAATCTCCGATCCTGTGTTGAGTAGAACCTGGATCTAAAACACGCGACGTTTTTATGTAGTGTATTTTAGAATTATCATATTGGCCTCTACAAAAAACACGTCTTAGCATACGTTAGTGCCCAGGAGTGCCTCTGTCAATGTACCATTTTTTTATTGTTTTGTAGCACAGTGTGTTATACAACTAAGTTCTCAAAGATTTCTTCCATGTTATTAAGATACTGCTAATTTTGATAAATATTAAAGCAATTCACTTTCTGTTACTGCAAGCTTTCAAGAATTTAATTTATACTTTGTTAATATGACACGTTCTGATTTATATTTATAATAGGCTCTTAAAAAGAGCATAATTATGTGTGGTCTATGTTAGTCCATTTTCAATATCGGGAGGACACATTTTTGGATTTTTTTCGTTGGATGACACCTAAGATGACGATTTATTTATTGCAGGCTACATCGCATCGAATTAGGGGCGGTGACGCCACATAATTATCGCCAGCTAAAGGTTCTAAACAGCGTTGTTTTTCCAGTTATCTACAACGATAAATTCTACCAGAATGTTCTTGAGGTAGGACGGTCATTGTTGGTTAATAACTCAATATTTGGCTTGATGTTGAACGTACGAAATTGGTTTTTAAAACCTGAAACCCTGGCTTAAAATTCAGAAAGATAGATTTTGTTTTAAATGTTACCTAAGAGCTTTAGTTAGTTTTTGTTGATCTCTTATTTCTGCAAATTCATTAATTTAATCGATTTTCCTTGAAATGATGAGATGAAAGCTCATAGTTATAAATCACTCGATAAGTGGAGGTAGATAATAAAATGTCTTTTTTGTAATTTTTGTAATGTAATTTTTGATCCCATCTATTACAAAACTAGCGATCTGTATATTATCTTTCCTTCATGTTCGATATCTGATTTTAATATGACGATTGTCCGTGTAGTTTCTTCAAATAAATCGTTAACGTCGGTCATTGATCGCATTCCTCAGGTAGGAGACTTAGCCCGTTTAGCATACTGTAACGACATCGTAGTGGGGGCGGTTTGCTGTCGCGTTGATAAAACTGAGATGGGTCAACGTCGTCTGTACATTATGACCCTAGGTTGTCTTGCACCTTATAGGCGACTTGGCATCGGGACGAAGTTACTAAAACATGTGCTCGAATACGCTAAGAAAGATGGAAATTTTAATTCAATTTACTTGTAAGTAAATTTTGCAAGCACGGTCGGTATTATACCATGACTTGACTATTTTGAAAAGCCTGACTTCTCGTATTATCGATGTCCTTCTAAGCAGAGAAGTACAAAATGATTAAATAGTCGCAATAGGCTTAGAAATATTTTCTATATTAAAAATTGTTTTATTTTCGCCTGCGGTATTTACGCTTGTCGGATTACTTAGTGTATTTTTTTGTCTCAAAGGTATATTCTAGGTGTTACCTACGCTAGAATGTATGTCGAGATCGGATAGTATATGTGATAAGTCAGGCCCGTTAAAGTAGCTTTTTGTAATGACTTTTACAGGCACGTTCAAGTCCAGAACGACTGCGCGTTAAAATTCTACGACAGATTTGACTTTAAGGTGGTCGATACGATGCAAAACTACTACAAGCGAATCAAACCGGCCGACGCACACGTACTTCAGAAGTCGTTAAATCCAGTCGGAAGTGAAGCGACAAATGGTCACTAGTAAAATGTAGCTACAGTCTGTATTGTGCGGATACAGTCGGTTAAGTCTAACGAAATAGAGGAAAGACTTCCAATTTAAGATGCTCATGTCTAATCATCGTTACGGCGAGCTGTGCTACTTGTTACCACTGATTGGAGAAAATAAATATTGTTAACAAACATAATTATCTGTCCAGATAGAAATGACACGGTTACCCTTCGAAGCTGATTGCATTTTACCACGTCAGGCTAAGTCGCGAGTATTCTCTGGCGGCCATTGCAGTGAGGCTGGCCTCACTGTAGTTAGAACAGAATAATTACTATTATTAGTATCCCATGTATATCAGTTGGCTGCCCTATTGTTTACGCAGTTTAGCTGTGAAATTGATATAAACACGTTCACACTTGTGTAAACACTGAATGCTAGCAGCTACTGGAAGCTGTCAGAATGCGTAAAACCAGCTATATAAAGGCATGACCAGTGACGATGTGTAAGGACTACACGATGATTAGGCAGTGTATTCGAGTCTTGATTGATGTAGGAAGGTTGAAGAGCTAGGCAGATGTGAATAATGTGTATGGTGTGAATTCAACATAATATGCGTAATGATGGGAACAGTAAAAATACGGTATGGAACATATTATCTTACTGAATACGGGTAAGTCATCTATCGTGGGGGTATTTCTTTCCCCGCTAGACTCCTCGGTCGTGAACACCTGGGCTAACGCGTTTTAGGTTGTTACGACAATGCCCATCATATCGAACGATTTGAAATAATGGTAGAATGAATTAGAAAAGGTAGAAATAACGGGTTGTAAGAGCTGATTTTGTATTCCAAAAAAGTAATTTCATAAAATGATGGCCTTCTTCCTTGTGAACTGTTCTATTGGGAAAGTATGTCGTCCAAATAAATGAATGACTGAAGCGCCGATCAACAGGCGCATGAGAAGCAGCAAAAAGATGTTTTGAGGTAAAGTTCTCTTGGTAGAAGTAGGACAGCTGCTACTAATCGTTGAGTCACTGACAATAAGTCATCCTATTGAAGGCTTTGGGTATAAAGCTGAGTTGTTTTTCTAATAAAAGCGACCGAAATAATCGCATATTTTATGCTAAGTGATATAAAAATGTTCTCATTCAAGTAATAGCCATCCAACGGTCTATTCTTGTTTCTTTTAAAACAAGTTATTTTTGCTGCAATCCGATTCTAACATTTTATGTTAATTCATCAGGTGTAAGTAACGGCGGAGTGCATGTTCCTTCAAGATCATTATATATATTGGTGATTTACTATGGATTTCTAAGTTTTCTTAAAGAACAATTATCGGTAAAGATGGGATTGAACTACGATTACTTTTAGCTTATGATTTGTTTAGTTCGCAAATGCCTAACCTGTTTGCAGTACGGATCCACTTTTTATTAGCCAGGTGCAAGGATAATTTTCCAACTTAGTTTACTTCTTAATAAAGATGATCCCTATTTTTGGTAGATATCCTACGCGTTTGAGTTCTCCTACTTACGTATAAGATGTTTAGCCGGTTGGAACTGGGTTACCTTTTCGTGGCACAAACTTCACTACACCATAGTACTAGAAGCAAGATTATATAAGATAGGTAGAGAAACCCTGTTTGTACAGAACCTCATCCTGCTTAGTCTTTAACACTACGAGTTACTTAGGTTTTTGAAATCACCTGCTGTTTGGTATTGCGTTAAGGATTTGCTCTTACAAAAGGACTAATCGAAGTGGGTCTTAATGGGGTTTCTCCACCAGACCTTTGAAAAGGCATAGCAGTTATTTAACTTAATATTAAACGCTTATCGTCTTTAACTCCTAATTTTTCCTCGATTCGTTATTTTCCTGATTATTAGTATCCGGTAATGATTTTTGCCAACGCGGAGATTCGAACCAACGTGGCATCATTCTTGTTTTTTGTGGTAACGCACCCAAAAAGAGATGCGCAAGACCCTAATTCATCAGATTGAGGAACTGGAAATACCTAAGGTGTCAGATATTCTGTGAAGTGCAAAACAGATTACTCCATTAGTTAATAGATTAACATTATCTATTAGTACCATTATTGTTAACTTTTACTTGCCAATAGTGGGTTCCAAATATTGCGAAATCATATGTAAAAAAACCTAGAACGAAATAATGTAGGAAATTCATGCATGACTGTAGTGTTTCTCTTACATTTTAATAATGCTCACCTTCTTTCTCATAGTATTTATATACGCTATATTTGTATCATGTAGTGCTATAACTCTCACAGAACAGAAGAGAAATATCTATGAGAAATTAGGAATTCGTCATTAATTGGGCATTCTTTTTAGAGCAGTTGTTATTAGAAAACTAGAGAGAACCACGTAGAGGCCTGTCTTTACGCAAATTGAAGAAGAGACTTCGTAAATTTAATACTCATCATTTAATACAACATTGAGCCTCTACAAAAAATGGTGATACACCAAACGTAAATATCAGTAAAACGTCGACTGAAAACTCTTCTAGTAAAATTATTATTTCCTAATTACATCTACATTTAAAGCGAAAAGAGCTCTGCAGGCTTACAGTTTTGGAAAAAAAATGAATTACTTAAATGAAGAAAACAGATGGTTATAATTGAACCAAAAAGGAGTGAGAAATTTTTAGAGGCTTATGTGCAAAAACAGTTATTTGTTTGCTATTCTACTACTAGTATCTTAACGCTAGTGGTCGTACTAATGCTTATAAATAATGCGTAAAAGGCACAAAGCTTCTTGATATTAGGCTCCTTGATATTTCTTATCTTAGCTGTGCGGCATTGACCGAAACAAGTGATAGCAAGCAAAATAATGAGCGATGTCCGGGCCACATTTGTTGTGGGTTTCCCGTAGGTAGCCCATTAGCGTTCCTCGGAACACTAAAGCACTACGCGGTGTAGTGTTGTCATATAGCAATACCACATGACATGCATGTGCACCTTATGGTTCAAACGAATAAATTAATTCGCTATCTTTTATAATCCATTCCTGTGCTTTCAGTAGCTTATAGTGTAACATTCTCTTCTCATTCAACGATAAGCAGAAGTGCACCTTTCGAGCACTATTTCGTCGAACTGAAGCTCGTTCGGTGTCTAACCATCCGGATTGCACTTCAAAGATTTCTTTTATCGCCAGTAACAACGTCGTACAGAAAAAAACATTATCAGACGATTACCGATGTTTTCTTTTCTCTTTTTTTAATCTTTTTCTTTTAAATTTTTTTCTAGCGCATGGAAATAATTGACTCTAATCATGTGGGCCACTGCTAGGTGTGCATAACGCTTTCGTGTCGACTGCGCCGCATGTTGCTTAAGAAGTGCCTGCAGCTCGCCGTCGTTACGTTCTTATGGTGGTCCGAAGCATGGTCTGTTGCCTAAGTTGAAACCTGCGGGTCTGAAGCGATTAAACCAGATCTGAAAAATGATGGATCCTACTGCACGGTCGCCTTTAACTCCGCAAAAAATTTTTTTCTCGGCAGCACTTCCTACTACGAAGTAGTGAAGATGCCGGACACCTTTTTAAGCTCTATGCCGAATAATTACTCCTAGCGACAATAAGACGCACGCTCAACAATCAAAACAATTACTCTGGGGCTTTTTCAACAAAATATGGTCAACCGATCCGACGCGAGCGCCGTCTGCCGTCTCTAACGACAATTTTTTGTTATCAACCTAAAAATATAAGATTTATGGATTTGAGTCGCTATGGCTTGCCTTAATCTTGCCGAATATAGCTAGAGTGTTGACACCAAATTCAATCTTGAAACAGAGGAGGAACTGTAACCTATGTAAGATGAGCACGCAAGATTTGAGGTGACATCTGCGTCAAATTCGGTCGATTCGTGCTCGAAGAAATATTGCTTTGCTAATTCTTTCGCTCAATGTCCTATCTGCCTTGGCAAATCGGTAGCTTTAATAAATCGCACTACGAAAATCGGAAGTCCCTTTCAAGCACGGTACTGCCCAAAGCCACACCGTTTGTACAAAAATTTAAACTGGCTGTATGCGCTCCTGCATAGCCTTTAATGACCAAAAACTTGACCATAAGTTCTAGGTATTGAATTGCTAAATTCTGTTGGACGGAATGAAAACATATATAATCAAATTGTGCTCACATATTACTAAAAAGATACCCCGCAAAACGTAATAGCCATTTTTGAACATTCGCGCGACTTCATTCTAAGATGATGTCGATGATATGATGACCATAGAATAATGAACACATTCTATCGTTATCTATATGCTGTTGTTGATCCAGAAACCTGTGATGTAAACTACCATCATACCTACCCTTTTTTATTGAAACCACTATTCTATTTTTGCTTGAGCGGGTATCAGAATGCTTGAGTCAAAGTAACAGTTCTTATATGAAATGACGAAGTGTCCTTTCATCGTAAAGCTTTGAACTTCTTAACTTTAACTTCTACAAACCGGCTTAGTATAAGAATCAAACCTTGTATCGAAAGCAGACGAGACCAAGTGTGGTAGGAAAGACGATCTCGAATCGCTCATCTTGTTGTATCATGTGTTCGAACTCCTTGGCTAGAGCGACACTTTTTCGAATATACTCCTGTAGACCCTATATAAAAATGAGTTCAGTTTGTTTCATTTTGCTTTTTTTAAGATTTTAATAATGGGCAATAATGCTTGTAACATGATTAGGACAAATACTGAACATATTTCAAGTGAATGCGCTAACTATTCATGCTGATTGAACTAGACTGCTCTCGCTAGTTATACATTTCGAATTCCCAGTTCCACATGAATCTGTCAATACAAACACAATAAAGAAGCTGATATATAGCTTCCTCAGATTATCACCTGTTTTTTTTCCTATAAAAATTAGCTCATAAAAAAGGATATTTCATTTATTGGATAATTTGTAAACGCATATACGTTAGACTAATATGTCGAGAACATGCGTGGCATTTTTTGCAATAATATGATACCGAAAATAATGCAATAATAATAATACCCGCTAAATGGTCATAGACAAAAGGTGGACGTGTTCTAGCTTGAATATATTATTCACTCGCATATACAAATTGAAGAAAACGAAAAGGTTTATATTCGTGAAACAACTCTTCAATAAGGCCTATGAGCATCCTTACATTGATCGACTTCTTTTATTGAATGAGTTATGTATATTATAAAAACGATGATAAAAATCGTATAAATTAATCACATTACTTATGAGGTTAATATTCTTAATAATAAAAAAATTGACACCAATAATAATAATAGTAAATTTCTGAAATTTGCTAATACTCCTAGAACCTACCTTTACTCCATACATACGCATGACAAACCAGAGCTTGAGAGAGCGAAATCGTCGACCCAGAGGCACTCCCCAATGCTAACGAACATTACGCAAGCAGTAATGAAACATATGTTTGAATGACGTGTACTATTATAATTTATTTTTGGACTTAGATAATGCATATGCATAATTGCACATTGTTAAAATAATATTTCACCTAACTCTATAACAAAATGCGAAAAACGCAATAAGCTCAAAAGTAATGTCAGCCCACAAACGCATGTGGCCATTCCAGGTTCGGTACTCACCCGATAATCAGGCATTTCACTGCCCTCAAAAGGATGTCTGAGGTAAAGCGGATCGACCTTGAATGCGTTCTCGAAGTCCTCCCGATGTCGAATCCTGTTGTGAATCATTCAGCACGGTCGAGATTAGTAGTACGCCAAGACATTCACTGGGCCAGCGCAGGACAAAAGTTTCACCTGCGTTCTTACTTCCCAAGTTTCTTTTGTCAGTCTTTGATAAGAATTGGATTTGTAGATTTAGGATATTTGTATCAAATGGGCTTTTTTTCAAAACGTCGAGTATAATGCGCGAATTTGGTTGGAGAAGTTTCTACCTCACCACACATACCACACTACAAAGTGAAAAATCATTGGGTGAATCAAACTTCCTGTGTAAACTAGCTTGAAAATACAGCACCTGTTGCTTTCGAAGAATTAACGAACCACTTAAGGTCCAGTATAATAAAAAAACTTATATGCACATACATTATGTAAACCTAATATTAAACTAGCTTATACAGATACTCAATAATTTGTATATACGAATTCTGAAATTGACGAAGTTTAAAAGTACGCATCGCTAGCAAATACAATGGCCTTCTGTTGAATCTGAACGTAGGTTACAAATAATTAAGAATTAATTTTGTTTGTACTTTTCTAATCAGATGATACAGTATTGTCAAACGCTTCCGAAAATTATAGATACTTAGGTCCATGATGAGGGCATCAGACATCGAATTTTCTAGTTTGAGCTATAGAATTTCACATATAGAATTATTCTTAGTATCTATGCATTCAAACATTAATAAGATAAATAACAAGGTTCAACAGACGTTTCTTATCTTAAATAATTATAGCAACTACTTTCTAAACAAAAAATCGCACATAGTAAATATTACCCACTGTTACAATCCTAATTTGACATGCTGCAGCGTAGTGTCCATATGAAATAATAAATTAGATGTTAATTAAGAATTTAGAATAGAAGACAAAAACCTTGGATTGCATAACATTGCCGCTAAGGTGCGCACCCGATAGAACGTTCTAACTGAAGTTCAAGTGCATAACAGCAAGCAAGAATTTGACCGACAACCCACTTTATAGTGCGAAATATGATCACATTTAGAAAACAATCGAAGCTTTTTAGAAATAGTGTCTATGTTTCTTGTGGCCTAATCCAATAAAAAGTAATGTTTAATTATGTGTGCGCGTCGGCCATTGCGTTTCCCAAAATAATCCAAAGGAAATTTCCGGAGCAAGTCTGAAAATGTTTGAGCTAAAATGAACTTTTTTTCTCAAGACTCTCTTTTTCAAAAAAATAGTTAATCTACTGTTAGTCAATCAATTTTGTGCGGTGAACGGCAGGGATTGCTATAATTAACATATATTATTGTACTAAAAGTTCCCGTTCTTTCTTCTGTAATTAGGGCGAAAAATGCGCTTACGCTACTATTGACAAAAATAGTTGCGCTACTCATGCAGGATATCGGTTATGAATGCCTGTCGCCATTAATTTTGTATAACAACGGGCAACAATGCACATGTACATCATCATACAACATCCCGATTTCACTTGTAAGCACCTAGATTTACTAACTTATTCGAATATTTTTCACACGTTATTTACGCTGAATTGCTTCCTAACATGACCCTATTACACTTCTCAATTCAAGTTGCTTGACTTGTTACCTGACTTCTAAATTCGAAATCAGCGCAGCTGTTCTGCTACCTTGTTACACTACACAGTTACCTTATGACAACAATCGGTATTGTTTTCTTACCGTTTTCTCATCGTCCTATTTCAGTAAACCCTGCTTTGTCTAAGTCATGTCATTACTTGACTCGTTTCGTTGCCCAATAGTTCGATCAAATTGCTTAGCTAATTCTTTTCCTTGCTCTGGGTGTGCGGTTCTTTTGAATCAGATATTCTACTATAGGCCAAGAAACCAGGAAGGATCTTCGGATTTGCCGAATACATAACCCTACTCAGGACTCTAGTTTTGGTTACACTAACATCAACGAAAAGCGGAAGCAGGTGATCACTGCTAAAAACTTAGGACACCCCTGCCTAAGTACAACCTAAGCGTATAGGACTGCATACCTCTGGGATCCTACTTTTAGCAGGAACGATCCCGTGAAATTTCAAAGCTGACGTAGAGCGAAATTAAACAGATGTGACATAGCTATCTGGCAAGCAGAGTAAGAGGCGGCACTGCGTGGAAAACTGGGATATGAGAAAGATGCGAGCAGAAACATTATCCTAGCGAATACTGACTGAATCGACAGACCCAAAAAAGAGTTGGCATACTACATAATCCATTTTCTAATAGTGATTTGCACAAGAAGGGGAACGCACTTTTGTCAACGAAAAATATTTTATATTATTTAACTTTTAGTCTATTCTATGGATTTTGTTAACGCTTTTAATGTTCTGACATTATGTCTCGCAGAGTTCGCAACATGTGTACACTCTCAAAAGTTGGATAAATATTAGCAAACGAAAATTTAGGCCCTTATAAGGTATTGAACTTCATTTCAATACACTGTACTATCACTTTCTTGGTTTTAGCTGAAGTGGACTGAAGGGTCTTTGTATCGAGTTTCTTCCCTTTTTAATCAGATTTGTTATTCGTTCATTGCGTCTTTAGCTAAAATGTGTTTGTTCACTTAAGGTATTAATTCAATTTAGCAGTTTCAATCTGGGCTAATTTTTCAAAGGTGGTTTGCCAGAACTTGAAAAATCAATCCGAAAATATTTCAGGACTAAGCCCTGACATATTTCATTTGAAGTTTATCGATTTTGTTTTCTCTAAACTCTTATGTTAGAGGGCACTGCTTCTTTTTAATACGATCTACTTGTAAGAACTAATTTTGGTAACTACGTACTGTACATAGTAGAGTATAGTAAATGACACTGCCAGGAAGAATCTACTATAACAACTTACAACATTGTTAGTTTTTTAAACAGTAGTCTAGCGTGTATACCAGAGAGTTGAACAGTCGAAATTAACGAGCATCCATTTGTGTGGATTCGAATTGTACGAATCAGCGTATTCGACTCCCGCAAGCAATGGTCGAAATTCAGGGCAGATAAAAGCTGCACCGGCATATGCTGCATCAACATGGAGCCATAGCTTCTCCTTAGCGCCTGTATTCGATATAAAATAGTCATATATTAACGGTAGTCATTTCCTGATAAACAATGCTTTTCTTATTGATTCTTATCTCACTATCCCTCTACGCCATCGCCGCATACAGTTAAAAATATTCAAATTTTTTTGAATTTTGTCGCAACTATAGTGCAGTACCCTGATGTCAAAAATTTGAGAAACTAACAAAGTGGACCGATATGGTCGAGCTCATCAAACGCAACCGTATTTGTTGTTCCCAATGTAACAACCACAGCCATGGGCAGAAAGCCTAACTGTCTGTCATCTTCGATCACCTGAAATATAGTAGTATCATTATATTAGTGTTTGCTATTTCATGCGAGCTCAAGTGCTTTGCACTCAAGTATTTGAAACTAAAAAAATGTTGTGCCCCCAAATCTCGTATAGCGTGTCGCGGAAATAAATTTTTAATTAATAGTTTGATCGTCTGTGGGTGCACAAAGCTGGTTTAAATCAATGATTATCTAGGCACGGCATTTAAACACTGAGATTAAGGCACTGCATCATATATTACGATTTTGCTTAAGCTGTGGGAATGATTATTTAACGACATAGACAGGAAATTACACGTAATGCTATCAATATTATCAAAGGCGTACAAACAATAACCTGACGTTTTGTTCTACGGTGCCGATTCACCGGTACTTCCAAATTTTCGCCGGCATCTCTCAACTTACAAATTACTTAACACAATGTTTGCAACCTTTAAACTGTTCCCTGTCGGCATATTCACAACTTGTCGCTCATAATCCTTACCTCGACCTCCGCTGCTTATTGCTCTTTATAGGTCTCTTTGTTCTAAAGTCTAAGATGTACACATTTTGAGCCCTGGTGTTTTGAAATAACGTGGGTTTTTGGAGGCGTAATTTTTCCATTGAAATGGGTCAACTACCACTCTTCGATGTGAAGTATCAACCTCCTAGCTCAAGAAACTGTTCTTATCGTGGTTATCACCTCGTGTTAAAATTTCAGCCTTCCCTCATGTAAGCACCTCATCGTGATATATTTCTTCTTACCCCTCGATCATGTTCCCCGGTACCAGCGCACTTGGGACCATCGAGATAAGAGTTGTAGCAGTCTATAATGCTGTATTCATTCAAGAAATGAGCCTCCGCTGTACTTTTCTCAAGTAACCTTTAGTCCTTTTTCAGTTTCTTTTATGACTAACAGAAGGCAACCGTCCAAACAACTACGAAATCCGCTACTTGAGCAAGTACGTTAACACTTCTCTTACCCGGATCAATTTCAACCCGCTGAAAGATGCTACTAAGGCTGTCCTCTGTACATCTATCTTTTGTTAGCCCTGATCAAATCTGACGCCCACATGCTTACTTTTTGCTGGTTAGACTAGATGTCTCCCCAGGTTTATGTCTGTGTTCCTGCACTTTCTTCTCTCCGTCATCTCATGTGTTAGCTTTAACTGGTGTCTGCTATATTAGTCTCTCAATTGTCTGAGACTATGGTTGCCTTGTTATCCAGTTCTGTCTCATTCCTGACAGCAGCCACCATCTGCATAGGATACGATACTTACGTGGTCTATGACTAAATCTGTGGGCATAAAATCGATCAATTGTTTCTAAGTTTGAACTGGCCTTCTGCAAGATCTTCTTTTTCGTCCATTTCCGTAATCAGCTCCCTCACAATCAGATGCCTCAGCCACTGTAACGAAGAGGTAGAGCAGCCTATATGAACTCCTTAGTTCAACAGGCTTCAGTTCTAATTGGATGTCTACTTCGCATTTTTCTACTCTTTCAGAAATAATCTTCCCGCTTACAGTCAACACTGTCCTGAAACTCAATAGGTTTTCATCTTTTTTACAGCATGGAGATTATTTTCAACTGTGTAACTAATGGGTTAATTTAAGAAATTTCCTCAAGGAAAAGGGCCTCACACCTGGGTAGACGCGGGCTATCGCGTAAGCCTTTTTACACGCTCCGCCTGTAATTTTTCTTCGCTTACCTTGAATACGATTTGCCTTGCTTTCTGGGATTTACTGGGAAGCCTCTAATCCTGGTTCATACCTTTTTCATTTTTTTGCAGGCTTCTTTAATTTTCGCGACCTTTTTCGTACCCGTACTTTGGCGACCAATTGAGTCTCGAGTCATACACCTTTATTTAGTTCGCTAAGATTTACTCAGATCGGTCCTAATTTACCTTCACTCTTTGTGCAGTGGGAACTTCGTTTTGATTTACTAGTTGCCCTATCTCAACCTTATGAATTAGGTTCCTGCTTATCTGCTATATGCCTTAGCTGTTCTAGTAAAGTTCCTGCATCTAAACGGGCTTGCCTTACGTCGAGCAGACAAATATCAATGTCGTACACTCTTGCAGCGGATTTTACACCTAGTGCAATAAGCACTTGCTAGAATTTGATAGCATATACATATAGAAGGATACTGAGCATTCGCTATTGCACTAATTTCGCAAAATTTCATATTTGATAGTGCACAGCGGATACTCTGATCACCAATCATCTTGTCGCAGTAGTAGCTTGGAGTAGTTATATTTTGAAAAAGAATCATCGTTTGCGAACCATCATTAGGCGAATCGCCATGGGTGTTTTCATGGTCATAGTAAAAACAAAGGAAAATCGTTGGGCTAATTGTCTGTATAATAAATATCTATCCAAACAGATTGTGTATGGATAAATATGTGTAGATACTGCACGCCCTGAACCACCAAAATATTTATACAAAGGCACTAAATAACTTATGTGATCCATATACATAAACTTGATACAAAAGCTTATGTAGGTTGCAACTGATTTTGTTTTGGGTGATTTTTAGACTAAATTCGTTGTAATTTAAAGGTTCACTTACCCTAAATGAAAGATGATGCATTCAGTTATCTTATCGAATCTGATACCTTTTCATTGTCTACTGCAAAAGATTCTTATTTAGAGGAATAGGACCTTCTTGACGTCTGAATACAACAGGCGTACAGTGGGTGTTTCACGCTGTTAGGAACGATATGCTTTAAATATTAAAAAGAAATGCGAAACGAGACTTGTTCTGCAGGGGTCTCAAGTAAGCATGATTAAAAACGAAAAGTTAGTGCACTAAGTAACAAGCATTCATATAATGTACGACTTGCGCACTTACGAATTTAATCACATATAGGGCAGTATAATAAATATTACGTGCACAATAACATATGACATTGAAAGATCCTCAGTCTTGGTTGCTTGCTTTACCTTTGCTAGTGTAACTGCTTTCATAGCGAGAGTCTCTTCGTTAGCCTTCACGAGATGGCATCTAATGCAAGCTAGAAGAGCCGCACGTTCCACTGAAGAGTGTGCCTGTCATTTAGGAAAAGTAGTTAGAAAGATATTTTTGTCACTTGGAATAGACAAAACTTGTCATGTCCGTCTTACGTACGCTTGTATATTGAAATACCCCTTGACAATCCGCAGTTATGCTAGTAAAGGAAGTGATATGTGTTATGGTCATTATTAATCAAATAAGAGCACAGATTATACATATTATTTTTCACGCAATGAAATTCTCATAATAGTTTAGTGTCTTCCTAGAAAAACATACTTCATGAAAATAGTGTCAACATGCTTGGTTAAAATGGAATGCAGTTTCGTGATACATTATATTCGTTGACAATAAAGCTGAAGAATTTCGACAATACCTAGAAAAACTAATACATAGCTGGATTATGTGAATATGTATCACATGAACATAGCTGGACATGTTTTTTAATACAATTTGTGTAGCGTTATGTCGTAAAGCTGGATTTGTTAGTAGAATTTTATCTGGACAATTTAATATTGATGAGCGGCTTTCACATTGCTTCACTGCCAATTATTCGTCTGACAACCAAGATCTCTGCAGCGATTCAAGCAGCTCAGTGATTTAATTTTTTCTTTTTTTTATTGAATAAAAAGCTTAAAAAGCGTTTTTTTATTTTTTCGTTTATCAGCCATGCACGTAAAACCTTGATATTGAGTTAATATAAATACGTATTTCCTTGTATGAGTTCTGTAATTCCCCGTAAGCTCTTATACAGAACTTTATTTGATTATTATTAAGAGTTTTACAAATCATTTTTCTTATAATCTCCAGAATCGATTTCCGACCTCAGCTGTCTCGCTTTATCATTTTCGTTCTTCATTCTTGCTTAACTTTTTCATTTTCTAGCCTTGTCCGCATTCCCACTCGGTTTGGTAGAAAGGTATATTGGAAATTTCTTTGAATTTCTTAGATTGGAGGTCTAGTTTCGCGAACGCTGTATCTCCTCATGTCCGTTGTAGAGTTGTGTGGTCGCATTGCTCTGCATTCCATGTTATTTCCTTTCCCGCACATTTTTGCATCTGATTTTGACGTTTTGACCCTCACTCTTAATCTGGAGGTCCTTCGTTCACTGTTTCCGTGCTGTCAATAAGGTTGTTTCACTTGTGTGGCGCAATAGCTAGATTATGGTTAGTTAACCGGCTATGTATCTCTATAACTGGTCTTTCGTTGAAGTTCAATGAGCATCATCGGCATTTATAATGAACTTGAAGTCACTCGGCGTGTTTGACACTAGAAGCACGTAGTCGTAGCCTAGTTTCCAAAAAGTCGGTTCAGCAAGTAAATCCTGCAGAGCCCCAGCCGTGATCGATATTCGATGCGTCGACCAGTAACGACCTGTTCTTTAGGTACGGCGAGAGTATAAACTTCTGGTAAGCCGAAATCTCTTTTCTGCCTAGTCCTACCATAGTGTGAAATGCGTTTTCCACATCTAACGAAACAAAAGCATGTAGTTTCGTGTTTCGTTTTTTCCAAGGCTTTTCTACTCGGTCGGTTAACGCGTAGGTTTTTCGCTTTTAAAGTTGGGTTAGTTTTTAGACAGAATACTGGTCTTTTATTTCTTGCCCTAGTTGATTTACTACTTCATTTGCCATAGGTTTCAAGGCAGCATTGAAGGGGGCAATTTGTAGAGGATCCAGTTTGAAATCTGTTATCTGGGAACTGCGAAATACACGCCTTCGCACGTTCGAGTCGACGTGGAATGTTTGGTTTTATAATATTGATTTAGCGCTTTAGGTTCGCATGTGCGATGCAATTGGTGAAGCAGGCAACAGTACAGGAGATACTTTCTTTCTAAAATTAACCTCATGTTTTACATGCATAGTAGCACTTACGAGATTTTAAATACACATATGGATTCTTTCAACTAGTGCAGTTAAACTATATATTTGCCTGGAGAGCTTAATTAATAATCAAAGTTGTAGGTGGTTTTGTACCTGATCAGACGCATATACAACGAGCCTATCACGAATATCAGCGGCTTTCCAGTGAGGATTAGCTTTGAGCAAAGTCGTGACTGCTTTTGCTTTGGCTGCCAGTAACGACATATGAGTCGATTCGGAAGCTGTGCCTTGGATTACACCACCACCTCCTAGACCACCTAAAAAATTAAAATTTGTGAGATAAAGAATTCATTTACAAAGGGATGGAATAGAAATGAGGAAAACAGAATAGAAACAAAAAAATAACGGAATTAATAGAGTGGAAATCAAAATAAAAGTCAAAACTCAAGTGTTCAAATAATAATTAAGGTGTGTTGCATGTGTCTAGACCTTCGAATCCAAAGCTTTATATAGATATACACGTGCTCTTCTTCGCTATTGCTAATTTTTTCTCAGTTAAAAATAAAAAAAAAATATATATATTCTCATAACGTAGGGTTAGTAATTTACCGTAAGGTTTTCTCAAATCACATTTAAGTAAATACAATTCAAAGTCGCTACCGGCGCCATTTTCAAATCAAAATAAGCGGAATCAGGCTGCAGTGGCATGATCAGGGCGTTCCTACATTTGTTATGTGCGAAATAAAACTGGTAATCGGAAAGAATGAATAGCACACAATTTTTACGTTCCTCCATATACCGCCATGTGAAGCCTGGCCCAGGCCTGCCGTGTTTCGGCTAAGGCCATGCACGCGTAAATAGTTCATTCAGTTGATAACCTTAACTATATGTGCTTGGGAAGTTTAAATAGGACGGTAAACAGGAGAAGATTCAGATTGTCCCATTATGCTAAACTCGTAGGTTGGTAGAAAATAAATCAGGTTCGCTACCTCAACATCTATGCTTATCTTCCTTTATAACGCAGCTAGCAGGGCAAGAATATTCCAAGGGTATGTCAAACCCTCAAAACCAAATCCTTCAGCTCAGAGTCGAAGGTGGCTTTAAGATGAACAAACACCGCGCATAGAAGGGGCACCTTGATGTCGAATGTTATCTTAACGTTGGTCATTTATAGATCTTACATATTGGTTACGTCAAATGTTAAAATTCGTGTCTTTCCTTCAAGGGAGCTTCCCTGCTTTCTAAAAAAGCAGACAATTTTTTGGTCAATAGGCTCGTAGCACTTTGTAGTAAAAGTTTCGAACGGTTTGGTGCTCTGATGATGGTAGTATTGGCTTACTCTCTTTAGGAATCGTTATATATATAGGTATGTTTCGATTGGAGAGAAAACATACTGGTACACGTACAGCTATTAAAGGGTGCAATGTAGAAAGGAGTAAGACGAGGCGGTAATTATAGACCCCGTCCGGACTCTCTGCTTTTTTATTAGGCGGGTTCTCGAGGGCCTGTAGGATCTTTCGCACAGTAAATTTTAACGAAGCGCAGTCAAGTTGAACTGAAGTTCGCCGAACGAAACGTTAATTTGACTGCGTTTTGTTGAAGACTCTCAAAAAATAATCGCAGCACTTGAGGTATCACTATGGTCACTTGCCACCAATATCTACCGAAGAGATTAACTAGATTAGTCGAGCCTGTTGGGCATGAGATCGAGTCACACTTTATAGGCCATTTGTATGCCTGCCACTTTTTCTCCGTTATTAACCAGCTTCTTAATATTTTCAAGCATTCTTCCGTTGTACAGCATATGATCTTCGGTAAATTGCCTTTATGTCTGCTGCCAAGTTTTGGGCTCCCCGTAAGAGGCGGTAGAGGTGGTTAAATCAGAAGCTGTGCTTTTCAAAGATAATGGGCGGCAAGGATGACCGGATACTTTCAACGCGCTGTCGCATGTATTTTTCAGCGTGGATTGCGTGAGGTACCGTGATGATTTCTTAAGTGTGCTCCAAAAGGCCCTGTACCTTCAAATGTCATGCTAAAGCTTTTGGCGGTTTGAGAAACCCATTCGTAGCACAACATTACTGCGCACTTGCATACTTCAGCTTTTTTCCGAACAGTAATTTCTTTTAAAAGAACGAACCTTAGTTCGAGTTACAGTCTCCAACGTACAGATAGCAAAGCTTTGGCTTTCTCTTTTACATTGGTACTGAACTTGAACTAATTATGCGCCATTTATGAGCATATAGGTGTACGTCGCAGCACTGGTACGCGATTTTAGCCAGGTGGGTCTAGATCAAGACTAAGTATATCATCTAGTACTAAATGAATATGTCAAGAAAAAAATAGAGCCAGCAAATCATTAATGAGCGTCTTTATCGACACGTCGGTCGATTTCGACTTGATAAGACAAACATAATCCGCTTAGAAACAGATGCGTGAGCCACGCAATGCAATAATGTTCCTCTCAACTTGGTAACAGATTACTCATTCTATGCTTGTAAAACACGGAAATGATCTACTAAGACGTTTTATGCCGCAACGGTTTTGAATTAAGCAGTTCACGCTGCATTATCTGCTATTTTCTTCATTTCTGTGACCGTTTCCACTGCTTTGCAACTCTAAGTGCGTTTCGTCTTCCCTAAAGGACAATAAATAGTAAGAAAATACAAGTCATTAATGAAAATATTCTCCAATTGAAATGAGGCAAATTGCAGGAAGACATAATCATATGCAAACTGTTAGGTCATATTAGAATAAGTCGTATACGATCAAGGTTTAATACTGACTAGGTTACTATCTTTTATTAATTGAATTTTCAAGCTTTATGTCGAAGGCAAAACCTGCCGCTGAAATATACAGCCAGTACATAGTTGGTAAGGTTATATAAATGAGCAGTAGTAAATAAGAATGTGTATGAATTAGTGCACCTTTTCATTGGATTCGAAAGTATAGTAAAACGCGAAAACCTCTGTTGATAATATTTAGAAAAAAAATTCGAAAGAACTTTCCTTCTTAGTGTGTATAAAATAACTGAACCATAAGATAATCAATGCAGCTTAAATAATGCTTATTTCGCTTCGCTGCGCTGATATGACAACATATATTTAATTCTAGAATTTTCGATATAATTGCCTTCAGGGCCATGTATAAACATATAATCTATATAGGTGTGTAGAATATGAAATTTATGCAATTGTATACTAACTACTGAAGAGAAAATGGTCGGGCAGCCGAAGCATCTTCCCCAACCAATCCATCGTAATCATTTCAAGCTCTGTGCACGCTGGACTGGCAATCTAGAACACAAGTACAGAAAAAATGTTATATATATATATATGTGCGTCGTGAACATTAATAATATTATACTTCTAGATAAACGCGGTCCAAATCTATATTGAGGTCGAATAAATTGCTATTTGTCAGTAACGGCTCGGCTATTCGCATTATTCTCCTGCGTAGGATGTGCCATATTAGAAAGAGAGTTTCAAGCCCCAGGGTTCGGGCTCAAGGATAGCCTAACCTACGAGTCTTGCGTCCCACCGTACGTTCTCAAAAATGGCCTAACCTACCAGATTAAGGGGGAACAAACGATGCTCTACGTTCCGTCGTCCTAGGCAGAAGAAGCTATGCCGGACGGCAGGACGGTAGGGCAGGTCGGCAGACAAAAAAATGTTGCAATGCGTTAAAGAGCGGTTCCTTATTCGGGCCAAGCTTACAATGTAAGTTCGGGAGGGGCTGGCGCGGTGCGAGGTCTGCCAGCGTCGTAAAGGGCTCACTTGAACTTTATCCGGTGACGGCTTCCCTCACCTTTGAGAAGGTAGGGGTAGACTTTATAGGCCCCTTAAAGGTCCCTGCAATAGGGCTTTCCAATTCTTAGTGTCGATCGACTATTGCACCCATTTTGTCTACCTTTTACCGGTCCAGAGGGCGACGTAGGACGCTGTCATCTGAGCGCTGAAAGCTGCCCCGTACTTCCTACTGCACTATGGCGCCATCGTCACGAACAATGGGATCTGCTTCCTATCGAGCCTCGTTGCAATTTTCTTCTACGGAAACACAGGACGGCTGTGGGACACTCACGGTGTAACGGGCTAGTCGAGCGTGTGGTTCGAACAGTCATAGAAAGTATGGGAACTCTGGGCACGAAAAGACACAGCTAGGTTCAGAACCTGCTAGCCCGAGTTGCGTTTACACTCAGCATATCCACAAGCAAGGATCTAGGAAATGCGCGGCTCGAATGGCTTCCCTGCTGTAGGTCCGTACTATCCGGAAAGCTTTCTCGCTACAGGAATGCTGGGAGGCGCAATGTCGTGAGATGAAGATCAGACGGATAACGCCTCGACTCTCTAAGAAGGTGCAGCCGCATAATCACAGGTCATTTACTATCATGAATCAGGTCAATTATCGGAGTACGTTTCCCGACATACTACCACGTATCCTTTCCAATCACGGTCAGCTACCGACCGCGATGGGTTGCAATCCAAGAGCTCTGTGGGCCGATCTGATTTATGATCGTAAATAGTTTGTGGTAACGCTGTTGCAACTTCCTTTAGGAGTCCCAGCGAAGCCATTGGGCCTTCATTAGTTTCATTTCGCCTCTCGGCCTTCCTGTAGCAAAAACGCTCTCTGGCCTGTATGGCTTTACAGCATTATATATATATATATATACTTTTGTTTTCGCTCGAATGAATACGTAGAGAATACGTAAGTAAAATAGTTGCTTTCTGCTTCTTCAAAGAATGGGACACTTCAGTACGAAACGTATATGAAGATAAGGTTCAGTATTTTTGCTATCGGACAACGTCAAGAGACAGGACTCTTCTTTCGCAAACTCAGTCACAATGGCTAGAGTATATTCTCATCAGGAATTTATCATTTGGGCTCTTAAGCATCTCTAATCGAAGCTAGTAACTCGAGTGGATACAAAGTCCAGCTGTTTGTACTTAGGGAGGGAGAACTCCGTTATTCCTGATTAAGAAATCTTCATCGGGTTCAAGGTCCCGGAACAGCAACAAGGTGGGGTTTCTACCCGTTTGGTTGTGGAGGTGGCTGGGCCAATTCGGGCCAGTCATAACTAATTGCGTCGGAGCCCTGAAGTTACGCGACCTGTTTACCTGCTTCTAAAACGAAGGAATCCCGCTGATAGTACGGCGCACGCGCCAGTAGTCAGAAATTTTCATAGGATGGGTATATCCTGCGTAATAATCGTCGCCAAAATTATATAAACTGAGTATAGAAATAACATTAAGAAAAAACAGGTTATGACTACAAACAATAGCGAACATTTTGCAAAAGCTAAAGGTATGACGAAGTATTTCAAAGATGACAAACATCAAACATCGTATGCGACACCAAAGCTACTATAGTAACAATTACTTTTCTATTCATAAAATTCAGAAGCAACAACCCTCTCTGATGTCTTTTAATTAGAGTTAAAGGCAATTGGTAGATTGATGATTAGTAAATCAACCGTAGCAAGAATGATAACTGTACGTGTGCTAAGTCATTAAAAGAAACCACTAATGTAAAAAAAGCGCAAAGGTGAAAAAGGGAAAGTACTACCAAAAAAAGCTTCATTCGTTTTTTGATCGCAATAGCGACTACCAGCGCAATTTGTCTCGTTGATCCTTCATACTTTTGGGTCGACAAGTAAGTCATCCTTAAATAAATGAAAAAATTGGCATTACTGTCCTTTTGCTTAGTGGTGGAACTTTGTCGCTTCAGTCATTTATAGATTCTTCTCAAGACTGAATCTACTGACGTGCGTCTTCAAGGTAGTTACGCTGGAGATCGTAGCGATTGCTGTTGACGGAAGCCATTCGCGTACAGAAGCACGTCGATCTGAGTATAGTGTTTTTTTGGATTCCGTTAGGTACATCACTTCCAACTAAAGGAAATAACTTGAGGTTGTCACACTATTTCTGTGGCTTGACTGAGGGCCTCAAATTCCATCCTTGTAGTTCTCCTGAAATATTTTGGACTAGGTTGATCATATTTGATTGTACTTCAACGGAGGTTGACTTAAAAAGAGCGTACCACCTATTGGGCCACATCGAATGACAAGAGGCAATCTCTAATAAAATCAAAAACTCGTAAATGGGAATTATTTCTCCGAAATAGTGCTAATCGATCCCACGTGTTATGACGGTAGATCCGAGAGGAATTGAGCCAAGAACTTGTAACAGTACTTTTCTATTCAACACTATGTTAATTGAAGAATATTTGGGATCTCTTTACCGTTAGGCCGCCATTCAATTAAATCCTGGCAGTGTGGCGAACGGGCATTAAATAGAGGGAGTTTATTGTAAATTTTATTGTAAGGAGGGAGTTTATTGTAAAAGGGTTGAAAAATGGCCATCAAACTGTGCATAGTGGTAGAAACTAAACAGACCCTCCGAGCTGTCAATTAGACTAATTTAACGAAAATTAGCACACACCAATAGCTATCGGTTGCTATTACCCTGCCCAACCTGTTTTAGGATGAACAACCTTCAGCTATTCAATATTAAACAAATTATACTTAAATTGCAGTTTCGATTCTGATTCGCCGGAGATCATGTAACGCTCAATCCATTCTCCCATCGTAGATAATCGGTTACAGCAATTCTGTTTCGCTGCCCCAGTCGATATCATTACACTCATGTAGCTATCCTATTAGCTTGTTCGAGTGATTGATCACCTGCGGCTTTATCCACAGTTCCCTAAGAGTTACCCTGCGGAAACAATATTTTCATCCAGTGATTTTTTATGTTTCTTTTTCTGTTTCGTTTATCCCATCTCCCCATTGCCGTTAATCCGTTATTATACCGCATGTATCCTACCATTTGAAAAGATAACCGATTGTCATTTTAGAATAACCAATATGAACCCAAACAAACTTCATTCTACATGTCCAGGTAATTATGCGTCAGTCTGAAGCTTTTTTCTGCCCCAAACATTTGCCTTACTACAGCTATCCAGCTCCACCATTAAAACATCCTTCTATTTACGATACCCTGTTGTACTTATAGCGTTTACAAGTAATATTTACTAGCTTTGGTATCATTTCACAGAGGTCTCAGCAAAAGTACAATTAAACCCTAAATTGCAAAAGAATGCAAAAGTTCAAAAATGATTCAACAATTCAGCTGTGTCTATTTCGTGACGTTTTAAATTGTTGTGAACAAAAAAGACAGAACGTTGAGATACGACGACTACTCTTAAGCCGATAATTGAGATTCGAGCAGTTGAGGCAGGTGCAGCAGATACGAAATCTAATGATCGATATTTTTTGACATTTGAATTCTGGTCTCCTATTAAATTACTTTTGTAACAATAATCCTGGTAGGCCACTACGTCCCTCTTATTGTCTTTATTGCAACTGATCCACTGCCCAACTTCCTTGGCGACTTACTGATCTTGTAAAGCTTGAATAAAAAGCAATTTTCGAAGGCAAACTATACGTTTCTTAAGCGAATCGTTAACAATAGGTCAACTTGTCCAAGTTGGGACTACGTTGTATGAGAAAAAAGAAGCTCCCCGCGGGAAAAGTACTTATTTAGTTGAGTAATATAAACTATCTCTCGAAATGGTTTATATTTCATAAACTACTTGACAAGTTAACTAATTAAACATTACGCCCCTTTTGGACGAAAGATATCACTCCAAGGAAAAATTTAATAGTTGTCGAACCAATTATAACATATGACTAATTTGCCCAAATTAACATTATACGCCTTGAAAAATAAAAATGCCGTTAAAAAAGGTATTCATTCAGTTAAGTCCGTCTCACGCGCAACCCTTTAAATTCCAGTACTTCCGAAAAATTAGCGAAATGCTTCCATTTTACGAGGCAAGTCGGGTCCAACAAACACACAGAAAGACAAATAAATAGATAAACTCAGCTTTAGTTTTACATGAGGTGGAGTAATCTCACGTAACCAGGTTATTTTTAGTCATAACTATTTGCGACTGACCATTTCAGTGTTTTAATCAGAGATCTGCGAGGCTTCTGCGGTAACCACAGAAAACTTTATTAGCTGAATTTCAGACTTCATAGTTGTTTATTTAAGCCAAAAAATAGTGTTTTGACTTTTGGGTGATGTCACATCAGTCGTTTACGGTCCTAGTGGCTATAAAGTCAAGTTAAGAATGATTGTAGTTTTTCTTCCTTGGCCGACAAATAAAGGGTCGAAGTTGCCAGACAAATCATAAAACTCCAGTTTGTTCCGCTATTTAAAAAAGATAATAAGCGAGTCTCTTCTACAGTGATACCCGAGTGAGTAAAAAACAGTAAGCCAGAAAAGAAAAACGTTCATTAAACATTTTCTTGATTTCGTGCACACAAGAGTGCAAAAAGCGGCTAAGGCACCTAGATATATACTTTCGATAATTTAAAAGAATTTGGTACGAATGCAAAAAACTTGAGATTTATTTATAACAAACATCATGTATATATATTAATACGACTACGTTTATAAAATGTAGGCCAATGCTAGATGCCCAAATCATTACCTACATAAAAGCTTTCTTTGGAAATGTGCGCGCGTTACTTACCGTTCGGAACTTGAAATTATACAACACACATTATTAATAACATACTTTTCCTTGCGAACTTCGTGATAGATCAAAAATCTTTTTAATGTAAATATGCAGACATATTGTCGCTTTCTATTTTCGAAATGTAAGTTTGAACCTAGGATCTAATTGAAGTTCAAACTTTTCCACTCAGTTTGTTCATAGACCTGATCATAGAGTCGTTGGTGTAGCTTAAATAGCTGAGTGCCTTGTAGAACTTACCAAAGTAACTACTTACCCAGGTGAATCCAATGCAGGCGATAGTAGAGGATAGGATGTCAGCCAGAAGCGCGGGCGGGCTTTGCGCGGTGGTGAAGTAAGCATGGAAGTGTGGAGAGTGCCTAGTGAATGAAACAAATAAAAACATCTCGAGCATTTAGACGTAACGGACATGAAACACACAATGAAAAAGCTATAAACAGCGATATTGTGAATCGTGCTTGAAAACAATAACATGTATAATATATTCCTCACCAATGTGTAATTCCAGGCATAATATGCTCTTCGATGTCTGCTACAACGGTCTGCCAACTCTCGGGTTCTTCAGGTGCCTCATGGGGTAGCCTAATAGTAGTCAAATAAAAACAAAAAGAAGTTTTTTGCAACTTTATCATTAATAAAGCGTAGAAGTGGAAGATTCAAAGACGTTAAAGAGCAAAAGACTTATCTAAAGAAATTTTTTGAGTGGCCGAAGCCAATGTTTTTCGATCTTAACACGTCCATTTTTCATTTCATGCATCACATTCAGTTAGCAGAATTACAGGAAACGTTGAAAAGTACCGAATCCTTTAGGTAAGCGAACTCCTCGGCTGCCATATGCGAGTACATGTTTACAAAAAATCTTCAAAGAGTTTATGATTGAGAGTCAATCTCTTCTCAAAAAGCTCTTTTTAAAATTTAAATTAAATTTCAAAATTATGACACTAAAGCTGAGCTTTTTTGTATTATTTAACTAGCACATCTAAAAAGAGTTTAAAAGCACAAGGTGCCCGATTATTGCTTGCTAGTTTGCGATACTGAAGGCAAGACGTTATTTTGCAGGATGTTTCTACCTGCCTAGAGGTAAAAAAATGCCCTTTAAATCTATCTAAATGTAACCAAAAAGAAAGTTTGATTTACACGTTTTTCATTGCTTGTCGTCTAGTTAACTTTAAATATGCGACGAGTGGAAGATGTAATGATATTCGCGCTAGTACAACGTAGCCAGGCTTTAAACTGAGATGCAAAGTAAAATTAAGTTAACAAATTCGTAAGTTGGGAAGTTCAGTGAGAACAAGTTAAGTTTTACATGCTATTCAAACTCGCCAAACAAAAGATTCGACAGTAACCAGTGTACAGAGGCAAATATTCTAAAAAAATAACAAATTGTGCGTTATTCACGTACAGAACTAAGATTTATAAAAAAAAAAAACATTGTGGGTTGAGTTTTATATGACTGGGTAGTCCATAATGCGTTACATCAGAAGAATGTGTATTAAGACAGAATCTTATTGCAATAAAAATGTGTCCATAAATACCTCTTTTGTAGATATCCTGGCTCTACGCTGGGTAAAACGTTTCGATCTCGAATTCCGTTCATATAATTGATGAAGTAGTCGATGGCCCATATTCCTGCTTTTCTGAACTGTTGATCATCCATATTTTTTAGATTTATTCCGTGTAATACTACTACTGATATATAACAAGTGTCTTCTAACTTTGTTGGAAAGGAGCACACTTTGGCGTAGATATCTGTATCTGAAAGAAATCAAGTTGGGTAAATGCAAGTAATCATGACAACTTTGCAAAAGGTAAAGGTAAGCAATAGATTGAAAGTCGTTAATTTCGAGTTTGCATTTTACGTTTTGTCCGGTTGAAGTATAAGGATTAGAGTAGAAGTTTTCTTAGCCGTTTCGTATCATGACATAACAGCACTTAATTCATATGAAGAACATTTTTTGAATGAGTATAAAAATCCTAGTTGCTAGCCAATAAACTGACAGTGTTCGACTAATAGCGAAGTTCTTAACAGTTTTGTCCCATCGAAGCCCGCGAGTGATGGAGCACGCTGAAGACACGAGATTTGAATGCTGGCTAGCTGTTCGTGATGTTCCTTATGCTTTGTTTCTAAGAGTGTACTCCAGAGCGTGCTCGTATTCTTGATCAGCCTTTTCCGCTACTAACGAGAACCAGTAAACAATACCGCCACAAACCGTACGGCATTCCTCTAGTTATCCATGGTCCTACAACAATTGCAGAAACCTATTTGCTTATAGGTTCGTCTTAATATGGTATGATCTTCTTTACTAGACAACATGCCCCAAACCTGAATATTGGTTGAAAAATTGTTTTTATTTATAATAGACACGGCCCTATTTCGAGAGCAAACTAACGATAATTTCTGTGGTTACTTTTTGCATAGATCATGAAAATTAGATAGTTGAATGAGAATTGAAAACGACCTACTGCGCTATATTCAAGAGAACTGAGGAGCATAGAGCATCGGTTAAATGTATTGCTTTCATTTATTTTAAATAATATGTTGTGTGACATATGACGTGTTCCTAAAGTCTTCTGTAAACAAATCGCGACATAGTAGTATTACTCACATTTACCACATTTCTCCTTTAATGGTCTTATAGAAATAGGATGACCGTCAGAAATGCACTTCTTAACGACGCAGTATTTTCTACCATGAAGAATTTGTAACCTAAGTCCAAGAAAAAACAGACTACCTTCGAGTACATAAAAAAGCTAACCAGTTTTCCGAAAATTTTTCCGAATTTAGGTGAATTAATCTGTGCTATTCGGAAGCAGGTGAGTTTGCGGGCAGATAAAAGAGGTTATAGATCGCACGATGTTACCAGGTGCAGGCCGTAAAGATTAAAGGAAGAATCGTAGCGATGGCTGGCAACCTCGAGAGAAGCGGTAGCGCCAGCGATAAATGCGAACGGTGCAGGCGCATGGGAAACGGGCAAATACTGCATGGGCGTATTTGTTGCCAGAAAAAATTGTAAACAGTAAACCGCTGACGCGGCTAATGTATAATAACCCTAACTGCTAACCGGTATATTGTCAATCCTTGATTAACGACTTATCTTTCCCCAATATGAGAGACAATGTGATTCAATGAACAAAAACTTGATCAATACTGTCTTTGAAAACAAACCGTGTCATGTTAGATATTGAAGTTATACCAGTAGGTTTTTGTATAACTCTTTCATCATGTACGTTAAATGGGCTTATTACGATCGAGTAGTCCGACCAGCATAACACTAAGAGGTGAAGTCAAATGGGCCTGAGATACACCTATATGGTCCACTAAGTAATTTGTGCGAAAAGTCACTAGATCAAAAAAAAGAAACATCATTTTCTTGCTAAAAAGCGTTTGATTATGATGTTTTATAATCATTCATTGCGTAGTTAGGCAAGATCATGATTCGTAAATTATTGGTCCGCACCAAGTTGTTGTGCACTTCATATGTTGCACAATGTGAAGTCTGGTTTAAATCTGCTGAAGTACTGGCGTAGTTGGTAGTATTGTTTTGTGTAAACGATACGTTATACTAACACAATCGTTAACATTTCTTTCAAAGGCAACGACAAATGACACGTCACTGACAACACCGTATGGTGCAAGTGCGAAAATACGATACGTGCATTTAACTTATACGTACCGACATATGTAAATTATCTTGCCTCTTTATCATTTACCAAACTTAAATAAAATGGTAAAAAAAGCTTCGCCGTTCCATACAGCGCCACTTTAAAAATTCGTTAAGAGAAAAAAAAAAAAGAAAAAATCCTAACCTGTATGCATCTCCAAATGTTAAGGTTTTTTAAATTTAATATTAAAGGTCAGCGTCTCCTTGTTAAAAACGGGATTAGCCCGTACAGTATATATATATATATATATATATATATATATATATATATATATGGCTGATGCATTCAAACTTGGACAAAATCCCGTGAACAAAGTACTGTTTTTAATTGGCTTTTTCCCGAGACCAAAAAGAGCAAATAAGCGGTTGCCTAGTATGACAGATCAGCGCATCAAATTTTCCCCAAACTCAAATGCCCTACCGGTATTTGTATGTGTGCAAATTTGAGCGAAAATTGGGAGCTTTGTGTTTACGCGGGAGGAACCTCCTTTTAGCCTATATATTTCCGATTATGCCCAGAGCTAAGTAGTTGCCAGCTCTACTGCGGCTTTTTAAAAATGCAAAGATGTTTAGGAGGCAAAACAGGATATTCCCAGTAGAATTTAGATTTCATGGGCCCAAAAATTAATTAAAATAGCCTATATTTTTTTTGATACATCTAGATTTTTTTTGCATAAAAATAAATGGCCATTTCGAATAGCACAATATCAATTGATTCATCCAGATAAGGCTTCTCTTTTTAATATATTGTGTGTCTTTTCGCAACTCGTGTACTTATTGGCCGTTTTAAGCTTTTGCATTTTTGGCCTATACCTTAAAATTAAGTTTTGCTGAAATTTTTTCACGGGGTTACACCCACCAATATCGCTCGACGGACGAAAAAAGTTATTTGCAAATCAAAGAAAGGGTATTTTTGAAAGGATTAATAAGTAGTTTATAAGCTCATAAAAATGAGAATTTAGATGCCTTTCTATATGAATATATATCCTAAGCGATTATTTCGTGATATCTATAGGGTGGTTTCTAGATTCGTTGAAACTGTCATTAACTCGCGAGCGTTTCTTAGATGGTGGTAATAAATCAAAACAGTCCGTAGGTCTGTCCATAAAACTGCCATCGAGGTAAACGCAGCCGAAAATTCTTTCACGCTATGTACTAACTTTTAATCACACTGAGCAACTTTCTACTTTTTGTCTTTTTCTTTCAGAAATCACGTTGCTCGTCTAATAATTCTAAAGAAACAATAAAAGGCAAGATGCATAGTTCGACTGAAGCAGATAGTCCATAATAATCCACATTAAACGTTAGCTACTTGGTATGGACGTGGGTGACTATTGGTTTCTACCGTCTTTATAAAATGAATTATTCATAAGGTCGACTGATTCTGACTATATCAGAGCTACTTTCGCAGAACGTAGTTGTAGAATGTGCGCAAATTTTTTAAGTTAAATATACCCTTATTATTGTCAGCCGGGCGGACATGATTTACTAAAAGCCCATTTTTCATTTCATAGAGCGTAATTGCATTAATGGCATAGATGCATACAAGTCTAGTAAACTCATTTGTACTATATTTGCTTGCTTCAAAAGCAATAGTGGTATTATTCGATTGTTCTTTTTCCGCCCAATTTTGCACCATTTATCTCTAAATGTTTTTCAATAGCGGTGTGTTTTCTCTACTAACGCGCTGTAATTTGAACTCCATCCACCATCCAAAAATAAGTGTTGTGTGCTGAAAGGAATTCGATATTCAGTTCTTGTTACATAGATACATTATGTTCCGCCGTTTCCAAAAATAAAAAAACTGCCGCGCTAACTTAGGATATTTATGACATTCAGATTTGAGATCACGGCTTAAAGGTTGCTGAGCTCAATGTAAGCATCTTTGAACAGAAGGACGCATCCCGTTTTCATCGACCAGTCAATTATGACTTCTGGAAGGCACTTTCAAAAAGGAGTCTGCGAATAGCTCGTAAATTGGCAGGGAAAATAAACTCTACTTTTCGAAGTCTCTTTAAGCGTTCCACTACATGGAATTTATTCTAAAATTTAGAATTCGAGTGTTTCGTAAATTCGTGTGCTTCGTAAAGCACACAAAAAACAAGTTGCATCTTAATATTGTTTCCTTACAGGTTGTCCTGTACCGAGCAACATACCATTAGATTGACAGAATTCTATACAAATTGTTGTGATGACGAGAATTGTTTTTTGTTTAATCCAGTTTGCCTCATTGAATAGGTGGCTTCAAGAGCTATGGCTGACTCTAAGTTAGATAGGGTTTTCGTTCGAAAAAAAGATAATTTGCATGTAATGGGACGAGGAGCGTTTAAAGAATAAAACGATTGACAAGCATTCTATACAGCCTAGGTACACTGAATGAACAAGGTTATCCAACCAGAAAAACCCGACTGCGAGATGAAATAAAGAAATTGGTTAAAAAATGGAAGAAAATAATATAGAGTGACGGTGAATATGTATAAATTAATTTGTTTCCAGAATCCGAGTGAAACGCTTTGTTTTCATGTTAAAAGGGAAATTGCGATTACTTTCAAAATAATTCAACAACTGCTTTAGCATCATAAAGAACTCAGAGTGCACAATAAGGTTCCATAAGTGAACGTACTCCTCGTGGAGCAATAAAAAAAATTTTTGAAGTTTCCTTATTTAAATGTATATGTACTCCAGGCCTATGACAATGTTCAAAGATTTCAAACGGACTCAGGATGTTGTGTCAAGGCGTACCGTTTTTAGAGAAATACAAAACTATAATAAAATTGTCCCGACTAGATTTTGCAGGAATGCAGAGTCAGGCTTCATTCTTTGCGTTTAGATCTACGGAGGACCTGGAAATAAGTGCTTAAAGTGAGTTGAAGTTTGCGTTATATATAAAAAAAACCTAGCATTACTAACGTTTTTACATTTTTGTGAAGCATGATTTTTCTACTTTGTTAAGGATTCACAGAGTCTTAAGACACCTATAACAAAAATATGATGTTATCAGTACCAATTTTTTTCTCAACGCCATTTGCAAACTGCACAAAAATGTAACCATCAAAATGTATTATAATTCATGTAAATTAAAATCTTACTTTTTACTTAAATCATTTGTAAAAACAGACGTCGAATCTTATGAGATTGTTAAGACTGATAAGCAATCTAGTTCCATGGCGCGTGCCTTTCATAATGTTGGCACAGTCTAAAATTGTACATTATTATTTACGCACGTTTACGTTTTTATAAAGCTTCATTATGATTGAATTCTGCTCATTGATAAGACCAGACGCGTTATTTGCATAAAGATAATTTTCATAGAATCACGGAACGGCGTGTTAAAGAACGGTAAGGGTAATGTCGTTGAAAAATAGATAGATAGAAAAGAGCGATGAGGACTGTTCCGTATGCTTAAAATTTGTATCGACACTGAGTTCGTTCTGACATGAAGATAAATAACAGGTTACAAACAGTATCATCAAAGGCTACATGTGGTTACCTTTTGCAGAAGACAGACGGGCTCACGGAGTTATATAGTTTGGGTTAATCAAGTAGATTTGCCAAAAACTAGCCTCCATTAACGTCGTCAAAGCTTCCTACTTTTGGAGACTAGTGTTTGATAAACTTTTGGAGAGGATTCTTTTCAAAATTTACGGAGAGAACTCTCGTAGCATTGCTTGTAGCGTACTTGTATAATATAGTACGTTATTATCACTTAGTATGCTTCTTGAATCTTAGGAAACGTACACATTCATCACAATGAAGATTCTTACAAGTATTCTAGTGTCTATCCTCCAGAGAAATGTCTACGAGATTTTGGGACGCATTCAAGTTACTAATTACGATCATCTTTTTCTAGTATTAAACGTTGCTTGCTTTAAAATGGTAACGACCTAGCAAATCCATCCGAGAGGTATTTTTCGAACAGGACTATTGTAAAGAAAAGGATTCTTAAAGTGGACATTACGTTTCTTTATCATGACAGAACTCTCTTTAAGCATCGTATATAAGCTGTGAAAGTACCACTGATTAGATTATTCAAAAGCTTCGTATCTCACAAGCAAAAAAAAACGTACCTCAGAAGATACGTCTAGGTCTCGAAAAGTATATCTATATATTCCAGTTTAAAAAATTATTGTAGAGTACTTATATGCAGGAAACACTAAAATCGATATTTTATTTTTATACTAATATCGATCAGTCAAAAAAATAAGATGACTTACTGTGCATAGTTCTTAATTATTTTTTAATGCGTATTAGAACAGTCTTTAGTAGTAAAACAATAATAATTACAGGATGGTTAGATCACAATATTAGATACATTCTTAAAAGCTTAGAATTATAAGATAATACTTAGCAGTTCTCCATTGCTTGTACCCGTACTTGCGGTGTACTTAATAGGCCCGTAATCTATATATCGACCAAATTGCCGAAATAAGATAAAATGGTGCGCGGTATTCTTAACCGGTAACGCAATCAAAGAATCCCGACAGAGCTAAGCCTTCTTAGCGACTGAATAGCCTTGAATGATGCCAAAATTTTATAAGGCTTATTCTTATTTCGTTTGTGATTCGCGGCACGGTTATAGAATAATGTAAGTTATTAAGTTCAGCAAATAGATCTTTCTGAATGTCTTTTAAAAATGAAAGGCTCAGCTAGCTTGAGTTGAGTTAATTTTCGTTAACACAACGTTTTTTCAATGTGGGATGACCAGTTTGTGAGTTTACCAAAGATATTCGTTAGTTTTGAGTTCCACTTGCATTTCGTTGGTAGATATTGACAGAATTTTCAATACTTCAACTTGCTTGAATAACGATAGCTGTCGTATTGTAATATAGCCCAAGGTAAGCTTCATGCATACAATTGTGATCACGTTACTACTCACGAACTACGCGGTGCAGGCAAGTTCGTCGTTAAGTTCCGATAATGGCAATGAGCTTCTTTCAAATATTTCCGAGCTTCGACGCCGAGGAGCCGTTCCACGCCACTTTGTCTTTAATCGGATACAAATCACTCACATTGCATCCTAGCTAATTCACGAGACACAATTTTACTCAAAAGTGATGTATCGACGTTACATGTACCTTCATGTTCTTTTAAAACGTAATATGTTATTAATACATAACGTGTAAAATACTTCTAATTGTAAAGTCACAATAAAGATTCGAGTCAGGCTCTTTTATTTGGTTTTTGTTGCAACCCTTCTTTCTAATATTGGTTACGTTAGACTTTCCACAATGACAGTCAAACAACTCGCACGCAATTAAGTGGTCTTTAAGCCGATAATTCGCCGTTTATCAGTGATCAGTCTGTTCGGCCGATCAGTAAGAGCGGGAGTTGTTCAAGAACATTATACAACCAGCAACCCAACAGCATTGGGGACAGCTACTCATATATCCTACACTTTCCGGTAATAAAGACTGCTGCTTTTAGGTCAAAGAGCTAAGAGGTATTTTCTGGAGCCTCCATTTCACGTAGTTCAGCCATGAAGGCACATAATAATCCCCAGTAGTGCTGTCTCAAGGGGGGTAGGAAAAGCAGTGACGGGGCCACCAGTTGCTCCTGAACAGTGATCGGACGGCGTGAAGTGCGACCCTTTCCCATCGAGGTGTTCTAGGAAAGAGATTACTACCAAGGATGTTATATTTAGGAGATTGAACAGCAAGAACAACCTGCTGCTCTTTACAATTGGAACCATGCAAGTAACAAAGACCACAGGATAAAGCACGTACTCTGCAGAAGCAACCATCCATGACAATCAGTATTGAACAAGTGCATTCTTAGGCCATCGAGATATACTTAAAGCTATACTACGTGCTGCATTTATTTTAAAAATATATTACCAATAATCCGAACTTGATTAAAGCTCACTCTTAACAGTTCTCTAGCCATATTCCATCTTCGCAACGTTATTTTTTATATATTGTTGCCTTGTAAGCTATATCCATTTATCCACTAACTCTGTATCTCGTTTTTTTCCAGTCCTTCTACACCACACCCACTGGGTTTCAATATTCTCGTAGCATCAAGCGTCACAATATTCGTAGTCGTCTATCAGACGCGTTGCTTATTCTCTCAACATAGCTATTTTTTCGCAGCTTACAAATTCTTATGCGTGGAGGATATGCGGGGACATTTATCAGAGAGGAGCTTTTCGGTTTCTTTTCTTTCTCATATTGCTTTTGTTCAAATCGATACCACTGCCTTGTTGCAGGTTACAGCAATGATCTATCAACTGGGTCCACAGTATCTTAAATAGATTGCATGCAATAAAGGGCATACAAGAGCTGTTTGAGATAGATTAATCCTGTCTTAAGCACAGTCGCCTGCTGGTCTCCCTTTAAGTATCACCGTCCTTTAAATGTGTAAAAGTTGTGCCTACCTTATCCTAATATACAAAAGCTTAAAAATATACGACACGCAAGCTAGATTTTAGCCAAACTATAAGAATTATAGGTATTATTGCTTCCTCAAATACGTTAAAAAAAATTTTTATTGGTTCAAGATATTTTTGCGGCTACCATTTTCACCGACTTGTGTAATATGATTAATTGATGAAAAAACATTTAAGAATTAAATTTTTAGTTTTATAAAAGGCCCTTTACACCAGCACGAAATTCACGGCAGGCCTATCTTGAAATTCAAAAATCTACCCGAATGGGTTTGCTTTTTGATGCAGGAGGCACACTACAAGGTATGAATGTTTAAAATATGAACAAATGCACGAATTGAAAACGAGCTCATAGCTTAACCTATTTTCCTATTCATCAGACTGATGGTTTAAAGTTGTGTAGTGTACTGAACTATCAAAACTCAACAATTTAACAGAGTTACGTATAGAAACAGAACGGGTATATACATAGCGGATACCTATACCAGTAAGTACCCGTGTTGGATAGCAGCCCCTTCATTTAGCTACGAAAATAGTGTCGTTTACTCACAAGCAACCTAACATATTGTAGATTGAAATTGTGTACTAATTTTCACACATACTAGATTTGATGATCTCTATATGAGCGGAATGAAACTGTGAGAGAAATCGATGGGACGTACAATGTGCTCTAGCATAACGTACCTTTTTTTTTGCACAAATCAGTCGGCTTATTCAGGAGCCGGAACTAAGGTTTCCCAGTTCAACTAATGATATATATGAGTCAAACTTTATCTATTTAGCTCTATTTGTCTTTCAGAAATATTCAGTATAAACAATATTCTGCAGTTAATAGAAAACTGCTTTTCTAGTTATGCGCTCTTAAAAATAATCTTTGCACTACTGTTGTTTACGTCAAAGTTGATGCATAAAATAGTCACAGGGATTTCTTTTTATCTCAAGCTGATAACTTAGTCCATACCTGTTCACTCTAGCAACGAATTTAACTCTCGGTTCAAGACAGCGTAGCAAAAAGGTTGCGTCATCGCGTATCAATGACACCATCCAACAATCTGCTGCTATGGATGCCTCACACATAGCGTTTCGATGCGTTTTCTCTGCCATCGCTCGCAATGCTCAGGCAAACATAATTTATATTTGAATGGAATTTCGATACAGATTATCACGGTTTGGTATATTTGTATAAATAGCACCAAAAGATGCTAGTTACTATATTTTAAAATAAAACCTTTTACCACCACCTGTTACATAAAGTTTAAAACCAGTGGAACCATTGTTAAGCTATAAAAGCATGAACAAATAATAAATCTAGAATCTCAGTTAAGCAAACATTCAACAAGTAGCGCCCAGCTACAGGTCTGCTTGCTGCATGAGAAAGTAATAACACACTGTCTATGTTCACTTCACAGATAGAGAACTTCAGATTAAATGAACTTCCTATATCTCTATAACAGTTTGTAATATATGGAGGATCAGATGCCCAGGCTAATTAGTAGGCGCTCTAAAGCGTACCATAGCTACCAATTAAACATCCGAAGCTGGGCAAAGACTTCACTTCAGGTTATTATGTTTATATATTTCGCCATGGCATAGTGGCGAGGTTAGCACGAGCTTGTGCGAATAAACACATGAACAAATTTTCTTTTCATTTCAATACAATTCGATGCACAAAAATGTAGTTGTTACTATGTCGGAGTAAACTGCGTTTTGATCCAAGAGAAGAAAAAACTGGTCGCAACCTGAAATTACGAAACGCTCATCGTCTTTATATCTGTCTAATTAATATATAGAAGGCCTCATCTATGAGATGATAAAGAAAAAGGAAGAAAGGCCAGTGCAGACAAATGGCAAAATATCTTAAAATTTTGGGAGGGGAGGTACGCTCTTGCAGGTAAGGGGTACCAATGCAGAATAAATTTTAAAAAAGCAGAAGCCTATGAAATGATTTGTTTACAGTTTTAAATATTCAGCTTAAAATGGAATTAATGAATACACACTTTGAGCAAATGAATAGATCAAATAGGGACCGTTTAACTCACTGCTTCATTAGGTTGTTCTCAAAATAGGAATGTGTGTTGGCAAGCTTTGTAAGAAATACTCTAAATGTATTTGCACGTGTACAGCTTTTTACCGCCTATATCTCATATTTTTGAGAAAGAGCTTTCCATTCCCAATCGTAATACTGCTTCTAATCGAAAACGTGTCTAAAGCATAAGCACCTTTTTTCTTCTAGATTCTTGCAGATCTTTCTAAAAGGAATTGTCTGGTTCAATCTTGGTCAGGGAACACCGTTTTCATAAAGGTCAAAAATAGGATTAGAGTGAAGGCCCGCTTTTAACGATGGTGCTTGTCTTCAAAATGTAATTACAAAAATCATACCGCCCTCTTTAGAGTAGTTTGGATCCTAAGATTTATTATCCAAAGTCACGGTTAGACAATACATCAGAAGTAGACGCCGCGACACCTAGAGGTATCTAGGCTCCCTAGAGTGAATGCCTAGGTATCGGTCTCCTCTTTGAAAATAAGAAACATAAAACCTTTTTAAGTCTAGGCTTCAAAGAAAGTTTTTGATAATCAAATTTTGTCCAGCCATAACCTTTCAGTTTAACCCCTTAATCAACCGTAGTTTTTTCTCATATTACTTCAGATATTTAGAATATATATATATATATATATATATATATATTGTGTGGAAGTCTATATATACATAGACTCTCCAGCTGTTAAGAGACTTTTGCTTTACTCTATGTAAATATACATATATTTATTTTATAATATAGCATCTAAAAGTATAATACAATGTACGGTTATGTACCAGTTTATTAATCATTACATAAAACATAATTTATACGCTATCAAATTTTAGGAACAATTTAGCCTGCCAATCGTTGGAGAACTCTTTTAAAAGTATGACTAATTTTTTTCCTCCTTTTTTGATCAAACAATAAATGGCTTATGAAAGCATGGTTAGTCATTACTTTGGGAGTTTGTAATACATATCGATAAGGATTGAAACCAACCAAATTTATAGTAGCATAATAAACCTAGAGAGTAAAATCATCGAGAAAAAAATTCACGCATAAACCTGTAATATTTCCGAATTCCACACAATATTATGACGACTTAAGGTATGAGTTATGAGCGCATAACAACAGATCACAGCAAGAGGACATTTTTATTTTACTTTGCCTTGCACTGAGTACGAGGTCTTTGATATAAAAAAATTTTATCACTACTTCTACATCATAATCGTTCATGAGAATAACTTTAAAACATTGCTTTGTAGAAAAATATCGAAAGAACATATTTTAAATTGAATTACGAAATTTCTTGAGACGTTTATTCGACAGTAATAAAATCACTAAAAACGTGAGAAACAGAACAATTTTCTTTTATGTAATTGAAGCATAGTTGCTACCTTATAATTGAGTTAATAAACGTATTTTCATAGAACATGTCACAAATCACACATTCAAGAGTATAGTCGACGAAAGGAGCTGGAATGCTGGCTTGAAACCTTATTGCTAAAAGAAGTCTGTCGCATAAAATAGGATAATCTAAAACGTTTTCGGTATGAAGTAAGCTTAAAGGCAATAGTCCTACTAAAATTATGCTAGCGACCCTCATGTAGTAACTTAACTGTGGGTATACCATCACATTTCGAATTATGAAATATTAACGTACACTTACAGAAACTGATGGTGTCGTGCAATTACTGGTTTCTTTTTCGTTCAAGAAAAAGCGCTGCTTAAAACAGGTAATGGCAACAATAAAATACGACGCTTGTCGCTCCAATGAAGAAAAAAGAGGTAGGCTTTTTGCGAAGGAGTGAGGTTGCCTGCAGTAGGCAGCTGTCTTGAGAGTGAACGTAGCAAAAGCGATGGGTCTCGACGACCTGCAGGATCCCTATGGGACAGGGAGACAAGAGGAGACAGTCTCATAGGGCTGCTTTCATTCCTGCTTAGAGAGAATCTTGCTAAAAGGGATGACTCTGTGGGAGGTCGGATTCCAATAAGACCACCCGGGTAAGGAGAAAAAGGGGAGAGGTAAGGCGAGGTAGGCAACGAGAAGGAAGTTGCAAATGATACCGCTACCATGGCAACCCCCTGCAAGAGTTCTTTAAGGCGGGTCGTTTAGTCGTACTATATTGGCCTCAGGATGATCGATAGAGACATTATTTTGTCATTTGAACAACAATGCAGGCAGAAGCCCCTTCCGTCTCTCCATATGTGTATTCTACTTATAGAGTGTTCTTGCTTCACTTACCCTAAGAACATCGTGTATTTAATATGCTTTTTAATGTTGCTTGCTTTTAGTTAGAAGCACAGGGGTGTTTCAAATGTTTTTAGGTGTCTGGTTTTCGACTTAGTCATAGGATGCACTGAATGATGTTTTCACAAGTCAGTATGAAAAGAAAAACCGCGCTTTTTTATTACAAGTGGCATTGAATTTCCTACCACAAACAAGTATATTATGAGAAAAAGTTGAACAACTTTGCAATACACCTGCAATGGATTTCCAGCATATCTCCAAGCATACACTGTTTTCAGGTTTCAAGTAAACTATCCTTTACTTATATATTAGCAACCGTCGTAGGGCCATGACGAATCCTTATCTTTTGTGAAACTCACCTATGCACTTAAGAACCCTTGAAACGAAGTTCTTCTTGTCTGCACGAAGGGGGTTGGGAACCTCTCCGCAGCCTCTTCCATGGAAACCCCGGATGACCGGGCTTCTCAAGCCTCGGGTCTTATGGGTAACCAGTCTATGTAGTTCCTAAGAAAGAAATAATATGCGTTGCGGCCACAGTTTCTTGGACCGTGTTGGATGAACCACTTCGGGTCTGGTTAATACAAAGTAATTTTTATATTTTCAATATAAACCTGGATTAAATATACATGTTAGACTTTTAATTTCTCTTTACAGTTAGCTTACCGCTCATTAAAGGAAAGACACCGATGGCAAGATCCATAGTGGTAAGACGTTAAGAAAGGAATGTTTACGAATATAGTATTAATACGCCTTTCCTGGATATTAAGCTTTAAAATGTTTTGCATAACAATCTTAAATTAACCTGTTGTACAACGAATACGTAAAAATAATTGATTGTCTGTCTTTTTCATTGCCCATTTTTTTTTCAGTATACTGGAACATCATGTATTGCTGTAATTCCGCATCACCAGTAAAGCACAGGTTTGGACTAACGTGGCTGGACTGCTTATAGACATGTTTGGGTCGTTTTCTGCTGCTATTTACAAGTAGTGGAAATTGCAATTGGGTCAGATGGGGGCATGTTTGGCACCCCAGTCTCCAGGTTACGGGTTACACCCCAGTGTACGGGTTACCCAGTCAACTCCAGGTTCATCGCTCAATCACCGAAAGCAACTTCAAGATGTTCTAGGCACGCCTTTTCACACTGACATACAAATTTAAACCGATAAATAGCAAAAAGTTAAGAACTTCACACAGATGCAGCTCTTCATATGTTTCGAATTCCGTTTAGTACTATAAAATAGTAGATCTAATCTATTGGTCACAAGAACGGATTTGTGTTGAACAAATGTGTACTCCATTGGATACCACAGCAAAAATGGCGTTATCTTGTAAGATTGGTGTTTCTAACTAAAAAATGACATTCATTTTAGTCAGAAAAAAAAATCAGATTTCTTTCGTTTACTTTGAAGGACTATAAGGATGTGTGCTTATAAAATTAACTTTTTGTCAGTGGAATGTGCTTATTAAACTATCGCTAATTAACCTAAATAATTGAGCAGAGATTGACACTAATTTCAGCGAGATAGTGATTACGAATGTTGAGAAGTTAAAGTTCAGGCCAATAATTTATTTACATACCTAATAAATTTATGATTTAACTTTGCTTGTTAGCCGATTTTACGCCCAAGCCAATGTGCTGCCTTTACAATAACGTCGTATGAAATGCTTTTTACGAAAATCAAATTTTTGCGGACTCTGCAAGGTCTGAAAAATTAAAGAGTTTTCAGGTATAATCCCGTTTAAACTTTAATACTTCTTTCACGATGCGTTTAATATTCACGTCCAATTAGAGTTATATTACATCTGTTTAAGCTGTCTATTAATATTGAGCAATCGTTAAAAAAACTGTCGCCTTAAAAGAAACACAACCTTTTTTTATAAATCAACATTTTTACACATCTTTAAATTAAACTTTATCAGCCCCCCAGAAATTACAGCTGTTCGCCACTGAGTCAGAACACAATGTAAAGAAGATATTTTCACTACGTAAATGTGCTTGAAATTTTTCCGGCATTTTAAGTGCAATAATTTGTAAACATATGTATAAAACCCCAGAAGTATCATTAAAGCGTATAACAGTATTTCCCACAATCAAATCACATACAATGTGCATGATTCCGAAAATTCCAACTTTAATTGCATGTAAATGTCGAACTTATTTAACACACAGCTAGAATTGTCACATATTCATATAGAAAATCGCATGGTTGTAACTAGAGGTTACGATAAAAGTTCAAACTTAAAATAGTAAGTAGTTCCTCTGGCAATATCCGGACCCAATACAAAGGGTATTATTATTTGGACACCATTGGCGGCAGCTCGGGTTGACTACCGCAATGCTGAACGGCGCGTTCGCATTGTATGATTATCAGTCACTCTTATCAGATGATTTCGATAAAACTTACATGTACCGTAGGAATAATATACCTGATGTGTACGCGCCTAATAATATACCTAATGTAATATCAACAATGGGATTTATATTTTATACTTTTGAATGTGATCTATTTAAGGTCTTTTTATTTAGCAAAAATCGTGCTCAGGAATATGTTATTACTTTGCGTAAGGCTGTATATTACGTTTGTATTAATGGCTTTCGAAACTATTAAACCATATAAAGCGCATGGGAATGCCCGATGAAGCAAGCTCAAGTACAAATTGCTAAAATTGAGTCCATGTGTTTCTCATTAGTACAGATCTCGCATGTCTGCCTCAGCTCGTCTCGGAATCTTGCATCACATACGCGCCTAGCTTGCGCCTTGGGTTTTACTTGTCTACGTTGTCCGTTCAAGCAATAGACAATATAGTAAGGGAGCCAACAGTTATCCGCTATTTCTTTTCTGCACGACCCTTACGAGCGGTAAACATTAAATAATGAGTCTTCCCAAGGAATCCGTGACAAATGAAAATATGAAACATCCATAAATATCATAATATGGGTTTTTTAAAAACGTCCGTCTATGAATCAATCTTAGTTTCATTAAGCAGTTTATATCGTTACACATGGATTGTACTCTATTTTGGACTATTCCGTTGCTTGAGTATCCAACCTTTATCAGAATTATGGATGTCTTGCAAGCTTAGAAAGGGTAAATATGTTCGCTCCTGCACTGTTCACGTTCTACTTATTTTTAGGCTTATTTTTAACAAGCTAAAGCTTGTTAAACAATGGATTGCTTAGTAGTTGACTAAAACCGCACTATTCTTCCAGAAAACACGATCACGTTCGTTGGCGCGTGGACGACATAGAATAGAAAAGGATGCAATACACGGAATTTTAACGGAATCTCCGAATTTGTACTGCCGCTTCCATTTAAGTTGTATAGAAGATCGTTGCCAGTTCCAGTGGCCGTCTTCACAGCCAATCCATCTTCATCCATTCGAAACTTAACTTTATGCAATACCTGTAAACATGGTATGGATGATTTAAATGTAATAACCACCAATTTGCTATTTTGTTTTCGGCAGTGGAAAATTTAAAATGCTCATCTCAAACATGTGTTGCCTACGCCGCCAGCTGAGACTGGTTTGCCATTGCTTTGGTTAGAGGATCATCATGTATATATGATGTTAAGCGTATGTTATGTAGCGTTTGTAGGTAACGCTATGTTATGATAAAATAATGCCCAAATATAGCACTTAGTACGCGGTATAGGGAAAACGCTTGACGTTCTATTAGATCAAGGACGTGCTTGCCTTACAATATTCATGCACTAGTTTTCTAGGACTTGTCATGCGTTTATTATCATTATTTATACAAATACTAGAATCGGGATGCAATAATAGAAAATTCACCAAGTACACTGAACACATATACTTTCAGCGCCATAATTTTCATAGACAGGGTTGATGCAAATAAATTACTGCAAAGATCACAGTGTGTGACCCTACTGATTTTCTCAAACATAACGGCTTAGAAATAGGGCCACTTCCATTTTGCCATTTATCGTTATAGCGAACCAGGTTCAATACCTTATATCGCCAAGAATGTATAATTGTTAAGCAAATATTGCCCATACCTAGCTAATAAGACATACCAAGATATATTTTCCTGGCTAGCGTAAAATCAGTAGATAAAAACTTTCAATCGTGTATTGTAGTTCTATACTTTTTTGGCCAGCCTATCGGCATACGTATATATTCGTTACATAATTACAAAATTTGATTTGTTACGGGAATGAAGCTAGAACTCGTGTATACTTAAATGTTTTTTTATGCTGTCCAGCCAAAACCTTAGTATTTTTTACACACCCGCTTAACTTTGGCCACTTTAGCAATATAGTTCCGTGGTAAACATGTCTGGAACCCGATTCAAACGGGTTAGATCGCTTATTGCTAGATAATGCATTTTGCACTTGCATGATATTTACCGTGTCATTTAGTTGTAATTCGGCCACATTTTAGATAATTCCATCTTCGTTTTGTTTACATGTGTGCCGGTGGCTGTTTGATGAAGTTCTGTAGTACAACATGAAGTCTGTCGAGCTTTAGGCCAATATTAATGGATAAAAGCACATGTCTATATAGAAGCCCTGCTTTCTACATACTTCTACATCTATACCGTATATTTGGTCTAAAATAAGATATCAGTTTTGAAGTATTTATATTAACAAACACTTTGCAGATATGCATTTTTTGATAAAGTCGTTAACGAAACGCATGCTGCCGTGTGAGTTGTCTACCCTTCCAGGTTTTTGCCTATTGGGTATCGAAATTACTAAAAAGTAAGAGCTCTTCCTTTCTTCTTTTAAGTCTGTTGCCATCTACTAAGGAGATGTCACTTTAAAATATATGCACCAGATTCGAAAAAATAGCTTCGATTCTCATAATATGAAAGACACACCCACGATTAAAGGAAGAAGCAACTAGAGACTTCGCAAATAGTAAAAGTCGATTGAGGCATACAGGCTCGATTAAAAATGACTTCAAATCGATTTCTACAAGTTGCCTAAATAACGAGTACAGAAGTCTACGAAGGAATTGGGGAATTCGACCCGTATAGCCCTGAATATATTTCCCATTTATATACATTTACAAATTTCAAACACGAAATACTTTCTAGTTATGAGAGCTTAATTCTTACCTTTGAAATTGTCATTTCGGGTCCATCAATTTCAGAGATTCTCGAGAAATCTGCATCAAACTGAGAGAAAGCCTCAATCATCCCTGATTTTAAAAGGGCCTCCTGCATGTTGTACGACGCCTCTATCTCGAATTTAGGAAGATGGATATCGACTGTGGCAAATGTTGCGTTCTTAAACCCATTGAAGAGATCCGTCGGTGAAATCTGGGATTCTAATCGGTCTAATGACTCGGAATCCTGTAATAGGTTAACAGAAATATTTTAGAAAATTTTTACAAGTCTTAAGAAAAATGATTTCTTTTACTTATAAATTTGGAATCCATTTCGAGTAATAGCATAATGGTAATAATTCTAACTCTATCTGGCTACAAAGCTTTTCATGTCATTGCTGCAGTATCTCGGGCTGCCAAGCTCATGGTCAAAAAATTCAGGGCGAGATTTTTTCAATAGGGACGAAATGTTATGCATTAATCAATGGAAAAGTTCTGTTCGTAGGTTTTCCTAATAGCAGCAATCATTTCTCTATATCTGGCCTTGACAGTTATCCGGCTCTTCCAATCAATGCAGTCAGACATGAATAATTAACTTTTAACGAGCCGAAAAATCGGCTAATAAATTGATGAACACAACTGGTTGCTCTCTTATTCCGAAATTCTATAAGGACGAGAGGTTTTTGTTTGACACATTTTTCTAAGGCTTACCATTTACTGCTTTACCCAATTTACCAAACCCTACTTGAGGTTTACCTATGTGCTTATGAGAGGTGATAGATTATATCAACGTTTTCAGTTAATTGACAACTATAATCGCGTCCCGTTTTTCAATCGTAGAAATACTAATACGTAATGCGTGTTTTCTATATTTTTGACTATTTATGAAACCCAAATTCACACTTGTTCCTTATTTCTCTCATAGTAAATGCTATCTTATACTCTAATAATTTAAAATAAATAAAATATAAGCGAGTTTTTCAAGAAGGACCCACAGCGAATTAACAATCATGGTCTGGAAAGAAAGTTCTCACGCTTTAAAAAAACTTTTTCCACTTCCTCTCACTTATTGTTTATTTCTGATAGACCATTCGAAAGCGTCCTTCCTGTAATGCTATTATTTTGAGGGTACAATTTCAACTCGAAACAATTTTTCAAAGATAGATGTTTCAGGTAGGAAAAAGTGCATAAGCTTTAACACGTTCTGTCCTGGGGATTTCGTCTAGACTCAAATGCGAACCAAAACGACCCGAAGCAGCTCCTTTGTACAGTAAAGACGTTATCACTAAACGAACTGCACGAAAGTAATTTGTAGGGTTTGAGAACGGCACCCAGGGTATAGAGGACGCCCCTGTTCCCGTTAACCGTCTGAATTTAGTAGCGAACATTTGAAGGCACTTTCCAAGGATTACGACTGGCAAACAGTTGCTAAGAAGATGTTAACTGGTGGACCGCCTGTAGACACACGACTGTCGTTAACAACCTTAAGTTTTTGGGGATTTACACAGAAACTTATGTAGAAGAAAGTTTGGGAAAGCGAAGAATCCGGTATAACACTACATGTCATTATCTCGCCCGACACCGGGCGATCACATTGACCAACTTTTGCATAGAATTGTTACCAATAATCAGATGTAGGGTCCTTGCCTCAACACGAACTAGAGCTGGGAATATGTAGTTTGACGAAATAAGTTAAGGTTTAAAGTCCAACCAGATCTTCATCCAAAAAAAGCTTATGCCCTGCGTTTGATAAAACTGCGAGGACCTGATTCACTATTAATTGCTTCCTATGAATTAGATAGTTGCTCAGTATGTTTATTTGATCCAATTGCATTAAGTCAGTTAGGCGATTAAACGGAAAAGACCTACCAAATGAGGTAGGTTGTTTTGTTCCATAACCGCGTAAGACCATACACGACAAACATCATCAAGGCAATCCGCCTAAACGTTAAATAAAAGGTTTTATTGCATTTTCCATAGTCTCTGGATCTTACGCCAATGGATTTTCATTTTTTCCGTTCACTGAGCAATCACCTTTTCAACACGAGTCGGGAGCTGACGAGACTGTTGAAGACTTCGAGACGGAACTTGCTATCTTTGGCAAGTAGCATGCACTACTTATTAAAAAGATAAAAGAAAGTCGTAAATAGTCGGAACATACCTAACATAGTAACCTATTAACTAAGATATAAAAAAAATGTGTTTTCTATTTGGCAAACAAAGCACATATAACAACATAATATATAGTAGAGGCTACAAAGAGATCCACGTTACCAATTATTCCTTAAATGTATGTATATAGTTGGCGTAAATACATGATACAATATATGTAAAGTTTATAATCGTTTTCGTGGTTATACGTGGATTCCATCAATACCTTCGGCAGAACAAGGAGCATAGTGGCGTTTCTACCGTAGCTGAGCTTCAGCATTGTAGCATTCAACCGCTTTAGATCAATAAGCGTTGCATTGGCCTCTGTCTGCAATAGAATTTTAAACAATAGCATATTAAATAAGTATATTTTGAAAGACGTATTGTTAACAGGGCCAATTTTAACGAGAGTACACCTCAGCTTGATAGGAATGGGTATATGTGTGTATATATCAAGTGAAACGAAGACATCGTTGTTTTACATACAATTCTACATACAATATTGTTAACAAAGATTTTAGAAAAGGGTGGGCGCATTGTAGTTCTTTTTACCATTAAACAAGGTACCAGTAAAAGCCGGCTCCGCACTACACAGCAGAATGTCTACGGTGGACATCTGCTGTGAATCTATCATAAACAAATCTTTGACCTATTTGACAATAACTGTAAAGCATCGTCTTCCCTAGCCACAGTCACAAATCTTTTTAGGAAAAAGCATTTTCCTTTCAGTTTGTTAATTGGCCAGCCTTTTTACACGAGAGCATTAGTGACCCATATAGTTTCAGTTCGGGTCCGTACAACTCCGGCCTGTAGACTAACGACATAAATGTCTTCAATTGATATTTTCTATAGAACTAAGTCTCTAAGATGCCCGTTTCAATCATGTTACAAATGAGTCTTCGACGAATATGCTGTTATGATTTTCTTTTCCTTATCGTGGCACCAATTATTCTCAACGATAGTACTAAGCAAATGTTTTTCCATCTAGTCCATCCCTCGTGTATTGCAATGAAGTAAATGCGATGTATTAGAAAAAAATGTGAAACATCCAACGTAAACTAAAAAAGCTTGGAGATAAATAAACGTGCTTTCACGGGTTTAGCATGCATACACATCGATTTCATGTTAATTCAACTAAGTTTTATATTAAACGTCTCCAAAAACAAGTGCGCACTCGTTTATGGTCCCAAAGGATTATTTTCATGAGAAGCTTCACTGTGATTCAAGCAGTTTCAGCTTCTTACGTCACGCAAATTTTCATATGAACATGATGAAAAGGCCTACGTACAAATGACACTGCACAGCCCAAACTGTCCAGCACCAACAACTAACTTCATTTCCATTCGCGAAGACCTGTCATCCAATTCTCTAACGTTTCATTTCAATTTAATTTTTAGTGATTTACCGTTGAACTGATTCCAAATCACTCATCATTCGCACCCTAGTCGCGTGTCACTCAGCGACATATCTGAGCAGTTTCACTTCTTTTTCATTGGCGTCGCTGGTGGTATAAGGCTCGCCACGCCTCTGTAAGCTTTTCTGGTCAAATCGTTAGTTTTTCTTTCTTGTCTACAATGGGTAACCTCTAACATTCTAAACAGACCCTCCTGACAAGGATCTGGAACGGTACTTTTAAATGTCTAAGTGAGTCCCTTCAATTTCTGCATGCGCTGACCATCGATAGCGGCATACCATAATCTCAAGATTAGCAAGTAGTTAGCCTGTGGCAGTAGAGAAAAGAGTAGAAGGGCTGTTTCGAAACCTATTAAGGATCAGCAAGGAATCGAATCTTCCCACCAAGAAAAGATTTATGCATATTGAACCTAGCCGTCGTCCAGTGATAACGTTCCTCTCTACCAACTTGTAGGTTACGGAAGAAAGCTCAGCTTTAAACTAGAAGTTATCCGCACATGATTAAACGCAATTCTACGCTACTGCCTCGAATCATTGATAATTGCATCGCAACACCGGCTGATCCCCTTTCCAACCAACAATTTAAAGACTCGCAAACTTGTCGCATCAAATAGGTACAGGCAGCTAGTCCACAGGTTTTTATTTGCCTATCTCAATTTTCATTCAGTACTTATAATATCTTGAAACCATAAATGCCATCTGTGTAAACAGTAGTCATCTAGTCAACTGCAAAAGCCTAAGTAGCCAGTCTGATACTTCCGCTACTAATGGGCTTTGCGCTCCCACTATCCAGAACCAACGATAAAAAATTTACTACACAAACATTACACTTCTACATTAGCGCGCAAACAACACTTTCAGAGTGGTATCGTCGGACTAATGCGTATTACTCCCTTTTACTAGGGTCAGTCTGCCGTTCATTGGCATGTTCGGGCATATCTTCCCTTTGTTTCTACCGGCGTCAGTGATGGTCTTAGGCTGCGTACTTTACAGCTTTTCTGTAAGCCTTTCGAACCGTTCCCCTTCTTGTCGACCACGACTGATTTACCTAGTTTTCAATAGGCTATAAATAAAACCATTTTAGAATACAGACATATTTAATTTTTGAGGATAATCTGTGATATATCTTTCTGCAAATTTCGAGTATTTGGAGTCAAAGTTAAGCATTACCCCAGCACCAATGATGGACTAACCTTGTGCATGACTGAAACATTTTTAGCTGTTACGCCAAAGTTGAGGAATTGGCCCCTGTATGTGTTACTCGGCTGAAACGCGTCGCTCCAAAAGCCACGGAAATAGACAACTGATACGGAAACAAGCCGCGTGTTGTTTTGCACAATTGGGCGCCGTAGGAAAGACGAGACTAGACCCTATCAGAAAAACAAGCATTAAATAATTATTAAAGCCATAGCTTAACGAGTACTTTTTTTTTATATGATCATGCGCAGTATGTGAAATACATGTTTGTTATAGTTCAATTGGCTTGCAACTTATGTAGGCGACGTGAATTGTGCGAGAAAATAACGTTATTAAGCAAAGAAGAAGTACAATTAGGTAGGCGGTAATGAAGCCAAAATCTGCGTTTAGTTAGAAAACATCACATTTACTTTAAGCGACAAAGATAAAACAGTGGTTAAGAGAGTAAATCGACCATAGTAAACAGTATACTATACGTTTAGAGGAAACGTGCAAAAGTAACGCATGTGATTTGAAAAATAGTATTGTTGATGATCATTTGGAATACGTCTTCAGTCTGACAAATGGTATAATCATAATAGCTCAAATTCAATGAAATCAAATGACGGACTCGGTCAATGTGGATCAACTTAAAATGGGCAAAACCACTTGCTGCTAATTCTGATTAATATTCCTTTTTGTTTTAATTTAACAGAATTAAATTAGTGACAAAAGGTTCTCGTACCTGGTTTTTCGAAAGGACAGCTCTTTAAGGGGTGGTGACCACGTACTTGTGAAAAATACTTCAAATGCTGTTACACTGAAGTAAGTGAGAAAATAAAGTTGTAACAGGCGTGCATAGTCAGGATTGCCTAATTTATATTGTATGGGGATATAAGGTTATCGCTAGCAGCAGTGCAGTTTGAAATGAACAAAGTAGAAAAAAATTATTGACATTGTTAGCACGACTGACGATTTTAATTTAATGTCGATAAATAACAAGAATATACAGTTATCTAGCGAACGTACCAAAGAAGGTGCATTGATATTTTTTTTTCGCTATGAACGGATTAATATAACTTATAAATCAAAGGAGAAGAGTGTCTTATCGTCTCGTTTCGAACGGTTAGATTTTTCGATTCGAACGTGATCGATAATCTTGTTATCGCAGATCCGCTGATTTGATGAGACCACTAATCTATTCGATTCGTGCTCAGACAAGATTAAATCGTTAATTTCCAACGAGCATATTATCAAAGAATGAGTAAGTTTCGAGATTTACATTACACTGAATATCAGAACAGCGGAATATACACACAGTAGAACTTTAGTTTCCGGTATTTCAAACATCCTTCAACAATGATATTGTACCAAAAGTATTTGAGGAAAAAACTATAAGGTCTGTTGTTGGAATACTTTAAAAGCAATGCCGATAACTAGCCAGCTGCTTAAAGCCTTGTTCCCTCCATTCTGTTAAAAAAAATATTGACTGGTTATATTGTCAGCCGATTGGAGTTGAAATAATGTCAGACGGTGCCCAATGATCATAAGAGCGTCCTTATAAATTATCGTAGAAACCTTTACCGTGTCAATTTTCACCGTTTTAGAGCGCGGGGAAAATCACAGACGGCTTATTAACAGAATGACAATGCTTGAAAGGGATTATTTGTCACAGAAATAAATTCAACTTCATATTCAAGGTTGCAATTATTGCCTAAAAACTGGCTGCATATTGTCTGTTTTTTTCACTGTGTATTTCGAATGTGTCAAAAAAGCTAATTCAGTGTTTACTCGAAAAGATTTGTGTTGAATTTGAAGAAAATCTAGTAACGTATGGCCTGTTCATTTAAGAGACCGCAAAGAAAGTCATCAAGCGCGTGAAGCGAAGGTTGTTATGAAGTGTAGAATTTTCTTGCAGTGTATAAATTTATGCTTTACAGAGAAACTGAAGCCGTATAAAATGACTAACGATATTTAACTGTATTACGTAACGATATGTGTAACGATAGTATGACACTTAGAGACAACAGTTACAACAGAAGCGGTCAATCAAAGGAGGTCGTACAAAAGAACGAATCAATCATAGCAGGTAGCCTATGGCTTAAGGCAACACGTATATAGTCTTATTCATATATTTTTAATGAAGGAGTCTCAGATTAAACATTTATTTGAAATTTATTGAAATATTTTGAAGCTAAGACCAGTACGATGTAGTGCGTGCCAGTAGGGTGAAGAAGCGTGTAGAACAATGGATTATACGCAAAAATCCATATAAATATTAAAAAAATAAATAAAACAGTTACAAACCAGATATTCCAATCAAATCCTATTCGTTTGATATATTTTTCTTTAGAAAAAATTAAACGATTAAGCCCAGAGATGTATATCAAATAGGTGTTTTTATAAGTGGATGCTTACGAAAACATTGGTGTATATACGAATTGCGGTTGAGAAAGATTCGCTTATATACATATCTAACAATGCATGTAGATACCTTCGTAGAGTTTCGCACCCAGATGTTTACGGCATTTTTCGCCTCAGTGGGCTGAGAAGTGAAATTGACTACTTCCGCATGGCCACGAAACTGGCGAGACACTACCGCAACATAATCTGGGTTAACCTGTAACGCATTTGCATATTAGAAACAAAGTAAAAGGTCACGTTGTTTCATTAATGATAGGTCATTAAGCGTGTCAATATATACTAATTATTGAGGGGTTATCTTTTTATTAGGAGATTATTGTCAATGCACCCAATCGTTTGGTAAAAGCTAAAGTGATTTTTATCTTTATTAGATTTTCTGATTTTAGATAGATATTTAATGAAAGAAAACATTATATCTTAATACTAAGCACTTTTAAAATTATCATATATGCTGTACTAACTCGCGCGCAATTGGAAATGGATAGATTCGAAAAGAGAAAAAATTGCACACGTAATAATCCAAACATGTCGTGGCTTGGAAGGCTTCTGATGTAGAGGTCTAGGCGTTTAGATGTACACCCATTCAAAGATAATAACGCATAAGACATCTTACTTAAATATGTACTTATGACTATAAAAAAAAAGAAAAATAATTCGATTACCTAACAATAATAGCCATGCAAAAGTCATCTAGATGTCTAACAGATCTTTAAAAAAAATAATTAGATCATTGCATTCAGGGGCCTTTCGAAATCTGAATAGGAAAAGAGAAAAAAATATTTATAGACACTGGTAAATATTCACATCATTAGCAGAGTAGTAACGGTGGTAGATGTAAAGAAAGACGAAATCTAGAACGAATCATAGCAAGCTGTGGAAAAATGAAGTGAAAAATACAGGTAGTAGAGGCTAATGTTTTTAGCTGATTTAATGGTCAAAAAGACATTGTGGTAAGTGCTATAATAATTATTTCGCCACTTATGAAGGAGAAAGTCAGTGATTTCAACCTCTGCAAATACATTTTTTTATGTACGAGGTGGGTTAAAAGGATCTCGACCATTTTCACGTTATAATTCTAACCGCGTACCGTTGTAGCGGATGGCAACTTGTACAGCTTTAAAAAAGTCTGTGTTCTTGATCGCGAAAGCGCTGGAGTAAGACGGCGGAGTCGCCGTTGTGAAAGATGTTCGTACTGGGCACACTAAGCCAAGATAAGAGCTTTGTGGTTACTTCAAGAATATGGTTACGTATTGGACGTCGCTACACGGTTATAACAAAAGGGCTAGTACGCATTTTAGAAAATAAGAGAATAACTTAAAAGCTCTAAATCCAAATAAAAAGGTTCAAAATACCAATTCATAACGATTCGGGCGGTCTCAACGAACAAATTAGAGTTAACTTAGGAGACGACCGTTTACTGGCTACCTGATTCACCAAAAGCATCTACTGATATATAACAAAAAACCAAATAGTGATAATTTTTAGACAGGTAGATAATTATGCAAGCTGACATCGGATAAGATCAAATTCTACTTAATCACCCTACAAAAATTCAAACAAGCCAAAGGAAGAAACACAAGAGGCGCTTGCTACTGAAGCGGCTGAGTTGTATATACCGAAGGGGAAGAACAACTCCAGCCAATTGCCCCGTTATCGTTCTTCCCAACTGAGGGTCCTTCTTTTCCAAAACAACAACTTTAATTTTTTGTTCCTCCTGTATATATATACATTTTTAAAGGCGAAACGTTTTTAGTCGAATCAAACTTTTTCTCGGTAGATTCTTCGAATATTACATAGCTTTCCGGCTTTAGAATCCTTTTAAACACTGCTATGGGAAAGATAGAGGTACACGCGTTTCGTCCACCGTACCGTTATGAAAATAATAAGGATATTTTTTTAACCATGAGCGAACCTACCTCATGCGCTTCAAGGAAAACCGCTTCGCTCCCAACCATAGTATAGCCTACAACAGAAAATATTGAAATTCAGTTTTATTCAGGTAGAGTTTAGATACTGACGGTGCATGTTCACCGCACCTCGACGCACACTGTGAAAACTGCCTTGTAATCTCACTAGACTACCTTCTTGAAAAGGTAAAACAAATTCTTTGACCATCATTCAATTCACATTACTTCTATAAATGCACGGATATTATATTATGGGACTGTCTGTGGTTATTCTGTTCATTTATATTTCTTTTTTTATTTGGTTGGTTATTTTTTGGTGATCATAGAGACTAGTGAGGATGCGTACGTTGTGTTGTCCCGTGAAGTAGTTCCACATTATAATTTACGCTTGTGATTTAAAGGCCTTACCAGGGTCAGTGAACTTAACATCATCGATTAAGTATTCGAATCCTTTGGCAACGTCTTCTTCCTGAAGATTCGTAGAAACGTATTGAAGCGCTGCAGCCATTTTACGTGCTGTGCTAGGACCAGCACCGACATAGAGCATACCTGATTAATATAGTAAATTGGCAATATTTTTGGTTAAAATTCTTCACATTGCAGCTCACGATTATTTCAATGTTCTCAAATATACTCTACTTCACAGTAAATCATAACACATCTTATTTTAAACAACTTTGAAAACCTTTGGTTCCCTCAATTATGCATTTCTGCAATATTTTCGTTATGCTTTTGTGCACCCTAGTACAAATAGTCCATGCACGTCCTCCTTTCGCCAAACGCAGTTTTCTAATAGGCATGTGATGAATTCGGTCAGAATGAAAACAAGTTCTGGATCTATGAAAAAATCGTACAAAATGTAGTTTTCGATCTTCCGTGTGCCTGAATATCTCCATACGGAGTTTTATAGCTAAACTAAATAAAGTTGTAAACAAATATTGACGCGTTGCGTGTTCACATACGTTTCCCTAGAAATTTTCAAACATTCTTGTCAATCAATTACCGTTTCATCAAATTGACAATATATTTAGAATATACATAAAGTAAGCATATACATGAGCAGGTATATTTAACGTAATAAAAAATTTGCTTAAAAATATGACATCTTTCATTGCGTATTTTGCTCTTTGAAGTACATCCTACGAGATAAAAGAACATCGTTTACGAAAATAGTTCAAAACTAGCGTAACTGTTCAGCGTGATGTTCAGATTCGACAAAATTAACTAAAGATACTAAGATAAACTAACAAAAATCCTTGCGGTAATAAAATAGATCTATAAGTGGCCTAAATGGATCAAATACGGCATTCATATACTTCGCGCTGCAACTCCATTATTCTTATAAACATACGTACAAGGTAACGATCAAGCCATAAGCGTAAATTCAATTTTATTCGTTTTTCTCATATTTTTATTCATAGGTTTGTACGAAAGCGATAACGTTACTAATATAATTTTTCGGATTTTACTCGGCAATTGTTTGTTGGTATTATTATTAGTAGTATATATCATAAGCATTTTATATTTATGATTTCATGCTACTTATTTCATAACTTAACTTCTGCTACTAGAAAAAAATAGTTTTATGCTCAGAACCACCGTCAAATAAGTCAAATGGATAGGCCCTAGAACGAAACAAATATGTCTTTAAAGCTACTTTCGACGTGCTGTTGTTGCTTTTAGTAAAACAAAGGGCACAGCAAAGGACGTAGTGACTACTAGTACTATTTTTGTTAGAACAAGTTCCTTCGTTAACGTTCACTTCCTTAATGATACTCGATATTCTTATATATTATCGTATACTAACTTCTACATAGGGAAACAGAGGATGTTTCTTCAATCTCTAAATTTCTCCAGGTTAGTGTGTAAAGCGAAAACCGGACGAATTCGACAAGGCGCTGAGTCAGTATATCAAGTATACCGATCATGATCATATAGAGTTAGAGTGACGCAAAGACTCTAGGTTGTTCTATTGGTTGTTCTATGTAACGTGTATATTGTTTCAACATTCGCTGGAGTTGCGCTATATATATATATATATATATATATATATACTTAACGAAGCTAAGTTTGTAGGCTAATAAATTTGAAATCTAAAGAATCCAAGACTAAAATGTTTAGACAACATCTGTCATTGTAAGCACTCGATTAACCGATAGAATATATCGTTTATAATCGTTAGCTGACGTATTCATTGATGCTAAGTATTTCAACATGAAAATTTTCTCAGTTGGCTGTGCAAGTACAGTGGAAGTTGCGGGCTCAAATCCGATGTAATACGGTAGACTAGGAGGCAAAATTATACCAAATAAATAACATTCGAGGCGCTCCATCGTTAAGTCGCCACGATTAGATATCACAGTGGTTCAATCTATACGGGTAATAGCAATGTGTAAGGATTATTTTTTTTTATAGTTTTTATAGGTTTTTCTTTAAAAACGAAAAGATGATTTCCGAAAAATATTTTAAAGATTACTGTAAAGACTATGGTTTAACTCCGTGCTGTAATAATTTTTATTTAGGTATCACGTTAGAACAAGTATGGCTATTGTGGGCTGGTCATGCATTATGTCTACGTTGAGCACGATAGTTACCGATGACTGTAAACTTTGAAACTCTGTCAAATCTGTAATGATAATAACAAATAATTATATCCAACAGTCCGCACTGAAGATATTTCCTGCAATAAATCTAGATATTAGGAACTCTCCTTAGACATGGTAGGCTAGAGTTTTAACTGAAAGTAGGATTCATTTGTTGATTTTAACTGACACATGAAGGGGGTTTTTTGACACTTGATTTGCGATATAGGAAGTGTGTGCTCCTTCGTTAAGTAGTCTAAGTGAGACGTAAGACAGAGGGCCTATAAAGTGAACAGCGTCGTTGTTTTTTGCCTATAAAGAGAGTAGCTTAAATTGAACGTAACTTCTTTCCCCCAAAAATGTTGTTTTAATATTTAACATTTAAAAACGGTCCACAAAGTAAACAGTTCAGGATCCCGAAAAATGAATAAAAGCAGGCCTGACTTTTCGTTTTGATAAAAGCACTCGAATACACTGAGCTCATGTTTCGAATTAGATTGCGAATTATATTGTGGCAATATTACAGCGCATGATATAGAGAATAGATGCGATATAAAAGATAGCATACTCAAAATGGACTGGCGATCTCGTTTTGTCTTTTGCGATAGCTATGAGATCCTATAATCATCTTGTAGTAAAGTGTGCGGTATTTGTCCTTGAATAAAGGAAGCCGACAACAAAAATTTCCAAAAAAAATCGACCAAGTCGATTTAATGCGCCGTCCTCTTTATAAACACTGCGTTTTAAATTGGATTGAAAAGTTAGAAAGCAGAGTTCTTTTATCGAGTTAAGCGAATTCTCTAAAAGTAACCTACGCTATGGTAATCGTTGTTGAGATTGTGTAATAGAAATACACAAACATAACTTATTGTGGTATAGGATTTGCATGCATAGAAACGTCAAAATTATCTATAAGAACTAAAAATCGACCAAGGATGTTAACCGAGAGCTGTAGACAAACAGAATGGTGACAAAACGATGTTTTTGTTTGCTGGTAACAGGCGCATGATGTTGAGTGCGAAATTATTATTCGCAATCATCAGTTTTCGTTTGAGACGGCGAGCGTCCGTCGATTCAAAGCTGGCAGATGAACGGAGTCGAGCCGCGTCCAAAAATAGCATTATAAGGATGAGGCTCCATAGTGGCGATTGATATGTGGATGAACGCATGAGCCGCATCTGGAATTAACTTGAACAAGAGGAAAAGACATATAGAAAAAAGTGTAATCATTGTATCGTCTGTACACCGTCTCACTGGATGAAAATGAAATAGATTTCTTTTAATAAGTTTCAAAATATTAAAGTATAACGAAAGCGCTAGAACACAATTTTCCATCGAACTTTCAGGTTAGCTGCTGATAGAGTCAGATGTATTCGACGCGCTACAGTCAATCCTTTTTATTAAACTATCTCTTATTTTATTAAACTGCCCTCCTACACATTCGATTTAAATTTTTTGGCCAACGATTATCTTAAATTATATTCAATTTTTACTGCGAAAGAGACGACTGCATACGACCGTCAGACTTTATCTGATCTATTCGAAGTAATTCTACGGTCTCCTTCGGTAAACAATAATAAGTTACTGTCCGTTACAGTTATAGACAAGCTTTCCTTACTGCTTATAAAAACAATAAGCTCCTTATACGAACTTAAAGCGGGCACTATCGCACCATACAGGATAACCTTTATATGGAAAGATTTAACCGAAGTTCAACATCACAGATTTAACTTAGCACCGCTAATTTTATATTTAAGGAGAGAAGCAGAGCATATTAAATGAACTGTTAATTGCATGAAGTACTTTGAAGTAATAACGCGTTTGTCATAAACTGGATAGTAGACCAAAATAAAACTATCTTCTGGCTGATATGTGCAACTTAGTCTTTTTACGTGCAACATGCAGCTGTTTTAAAAAAGTCAGTCTGAAGTCTCAGAACACCACGAGCGAATCGAACCACAGTTCCATAAAGCACTCAGAAAAACCATTTCTAACCGTTTCGTCAATCTACAATTTAACCAAAGGTCTAACCCAATTTCACTTGCTTAGGTACCCCTACAGCGCAACACTTTTATTGAAGCCAACACTTTTAATACGTCCTTAAAGTACAGAATCTGACAAAGAACAGTCTTATATATTTACAGTTTACGATGGATATTTTTGTACAAAAGCAAAAGAAGAAGATTCGATTTGCTCGAAATTTCAACATGTCGCCAAGACATTGAGTATAAGGCAAACGACAGCACAGGGCGCAGCTTTTTTCAGAAAACCGCGATCACCAGCGATGCATGAAGGTATACAGAGGACGAATCGCTACATTATAGTTGCTATAGGTAGTGCTTCCAGCGACTTCTAATATACACGCACCGTAGTCACGGAGCAACGTCATCTGTGCGGCAAATTGCATGACTAAGCACAGTCATGATTGACATTAAATCAGGGTACAGCCTCAACTGCGATATTATCCCTAACCTTATGGTAAACAATTAAGCTTGTTCCATCCGAACGGCATCGCCACATGAACGGAGGCAACCTAGGACCCCTGGGGGTGCAAAAAATCTGAGCACTTCAGGGTGTATCAGCCAACACGTTGTCATGTTTAGTGCAGGGGAGAAGAACCCACACTTAGCCAATATAAAAAATCGTAGTGGACACTTGCAGACACTTCTTCACCATTTTGACGAACGTACAACTAGGCGGGACCCTCTTCAAGGTAAACCTGCATCGGTAAGCCACTTTATGGTGCAAGTTGACTAGGTAACGTATATTCAAGTCCTTTTTCTGGCGGGGTATCGCTAACAGCTTTACCTTATTTCTACGTTTATTAAATGTTTTTGATAGGAAGATATTAAATCATTTTGAAGGGAACAAGTGCCATTGGAAGCTTAGATTTACACATTATCTGGTAATTGAAAACCCATTTGATAACTTGTTGCCATGAAGAAACCAACCGTAATCAGTTTTCTCTGAAGTATACTATCATCCAGATGCTAGAGATTGGCAAGCAAGGTGAGAACATTATAATTCCGTTACCCGGCAGGCACCTAGTTTTTAATCTAACAGGTCTCCTACTTGAATCTTTGCAACCGAACAAATGAATGGTTCCCAGTATAGCAGGTGAAAACAATTTTTCTATGATTGAATTGCTCAGTCAGAAATCAAAAGCGGTACTAAGTTAGCCTAAAATTAAAAAGGGTCCCTTTCATTACTCCCCCCCCCCATCTTCCCATCGACTCTAAATAAAAGGGCTGTTCCAGATGGCAGCTCCCTAGACACATATCATAGAAACCGTAAACAAGCATGCTTATCACCGTTGGCAGTTCAACCTTCGACGTTGACAGATGATCACACACCTTCTGGTAATCTTTGAAATTGTATTAAAAAGTCACAAGAAAATGTACTTACGTAAGAAAACAGCTGAAGCAAAAACATAGGTAAACTGAAAAGCTAAAAAACACAGGTAAATCGCATAACAAATATCTCGAAACTATCTATCCCTTGTTTTTTTTGGTACATTCTTTAAAATAATTCTGTATTTTTGCGAAAATAAATCAAAGTTCAAGATTGAACTTCTATGCGAAGAAACTGTCGACTCACGCAGAAATCAGACTGAAAAGATTTCAGTCAGCAGTTTTCATCCGAAAGTGGAAATTAAGTTCAATATGATTTGGCAAATGCTAAAATAAACATTTTCCACATGGCGTTTAGATTCAGTATAAATCAGGTGGAGCTTCGTGAAGAAACTACAGCGTCCTTACGGAGAAAAATTAAAAGCAAAGGGAGACAAACGGACATTGTTTGAAAATCCATTTTCTGTAACAAATAAAGCTCCAATTGAGCGAATTCTGCTTACAATGCTCCTAAAAATCATTGTATAAAAGACATTAAAAAAAAGCTTTCCCATGTCCAAATAACAACTACCTTGTTTGCACTATTTTGTTACAAGAATCAACTTGAGTGTGTTGCCTAGAACCATACAGAATAAAAATTGGTCAGGGTATTAGAATTAAAGAGGGGTACCTGGCATATATTATCTCAAATAATTTTTGACCCTTGATTACCTTCCTCTTATTGAATGTTTTATCTTGCAAAAATTACTAATACTTTTATTATAAACCGTGAGACTAAAGAAACTTACACCATCTACAAAGGAAGAAGGCAAAATTCTTATCTAAACACCTCTACACGTTTTTTATGGCTAATTTCCAGCAGCCTTCTTACTGTCTTCCACATCGACTGGTGACAATTTTCACAGAGTAGGTAGGAGAGGAAATCACAGAGATAAAGCCAATTCTGTGCTAGGCTAGAAGCATGGATTATTCATCACCTTCTGCTATTTTTCAATCTCAGTGATATTATCGGTTTTGTTGCACCCTTTCTTTGATAGACTTGTGCACAAATCTGGCACAGCAATACCAACTTATTCCTAGTAGGCCACTATTTACTGTGGTTAAACCGACAACCGCGATTCTGCTCTTACGGACGTCGCTCGATCTTTCGGATATTAGCTTTGTTTTCCATTGCTCCTGTTTTGTGGCCCGAGTATTATTCCTGGTTGCCTTAGTTGATTCTCCGATTCGTTGCTCTGCTTTTATCTGTCAACTTCTCTTTCTTTCGGATTGTATCTGCTTTGCCCTCGACGCTCCTGTGTTGTGGTATTCTGAACGCGGAAGCAAACGGCTATCCTAGAGCTCTTGAACTGATTAAAGTTTCTCTGAACACACTTAAACCTATAAATCAATAGCCAGTACTACTTATCACCTAGTACTCTATGCAAATAGCAAACATTTTTCCGGGTAACCTTTCTTTATTTATTAAAGGCAAAGATTCCCATTTTAGGCTTTGCTTCATTCAATCTTACCATCGCTCTATTACAATACTTTCCAGCTTAGCATTTTAGTTATCTATTTGGGCCTTCTTATGCGTTAGTCTTATTTTTTCAATAAACGCAATGTCTTTAGTTAATCATTTAAACGTCCCCAGCACAACTGACACCGATTTCATCCATCAGTAACTATCACCAATCGTAGAGGTGCTTAAATAAAACAGCCTACTAGTATCCAATTTGCTGAATGAATGTATCATTCTCGTTTATTATCTGCTACATAAACTTCACGCACTCTAAGCTAGCATCCAGGGATGGCTTGAAGTGTCTGCCATAAGCTAGCATGCAGTTTGATAGAAACATTCACTATATTGAGTTGTGAATGCCGCAGTTAAACTTTGCATTTGCTAAGAGGTTTTTACCATGGTGACCGCCTATATATACATAGGTCGCTAATATTCTCGTTGAGGTTAGTGTACGTTATTCCTTACGGGTACTAATATTATTAAGTAGACGAAAAATATCTGTTGGTTTTAGGTATTACTAGACGAAATATGCACCACTTTGATCGACGATCTTTTGGGTATTGTTGTGGTAGCACCATAATTCCATCATTGTAGAGCTTCCGTGGTTTCTGGGCGAAAATTTGTGAAAAGAGATTTTTGCATCTTTCCATTGAAACTAAAGGAACACCATTATGGGAGTTCTACAAGAGGTCGAAATAAATGACAGTCTGATGGTGCAAGGTGGGGGCTATACGGTGAATGTATTGAAATTTTCCGCTTAAGTTCTCTTGGTGTTTGCTGAATAGTTAAAAATGTGTCCGATCTACAATCTTTATGGCGGAAGGAGACTTTTAATGGCTTAATGTAACCCTGCTAGTTGTTGACAGTAGAGGTCCGAATCAACCGTTTTGATAGGTAGCAACAACCCTTAGTGCACAATTTCTTTCCAGTTTTACCAAATGCAGCAACACCTTTTTTAGCTTCAGTCTGGACCTTATCACAGACTGTGGAGCAACTTTTATTATTTGCACATTATTGTTCTACATAATCTATTTTTTATCATCCGTGATCAATCACTCTAGAAAGGGCTTACTTCGTCGGGCTTTTGTAGAATTTGGCAGATAGAAATAAAATCGTGTAAATTATTTTCCGTCAATTCATGTGGCGTCCAAACACCAAACTTTTCCTCTTAAAATTGTTTAAAACTGTTTGATGATGGATATTTAGTTTCCAGGCGATGCCTACTTACGTGTCGCTTTTGCTCAACTCCCGTAGTAATTATATGAACTTTTTCGTAACTTGTAGACCACTATGACGAGCATTTTTTGCATCAAAATTTTCGGAAAGAAAGCGATAGAACTATTTTTGGATTGCTTTTCCCGATACCGCATCTCAGCCATAACGAGCACACAGCTTTTGTGGGTTTGGGCAACATTTGTCCCTTTATCGCAATATATTTTTAAAATATAGCAATTTTTTTCAGAAACTGCAGTCATCTTCAAAGCAATCTATCTCAAGCGTGAATAAAGGCATTCCAACAAGTGTCATCTCAGCACGTCTGTTACTGTCAAACTTCGCCTTTTAAATGACACCAACAGTGACCCGACACAACTCATATTACTTGAAATATGTGATTGTGAAGCTATTTCCAATACCTTTCTGACAAACTAATATTCTACCGTGAATTGGAAGACGTTTGTGCTTTTTTTTTCACTGGCGATGCTGAATCGGCGGAAAACTCTGACGCTTCGAAAACGCGGTAGTGGCACTCGCCAATGGCTACGAAATTTTCCGACCTCTTTTTTTCGCTTATTAGCTGGCGCAAGTCGTCCACAGTAGTTCTAATGTCATGGCGTCAGCCGCTAAGTATTTTTACATTGTTTTGCGTTCTCTGGACCCATATGATTCAAGATAAGCTCTTAACTTGAGATTGTCAGTGATGCATGATGAAATTGTGACACAATGTGGAAAAGGTTTGATGCTATTCTTTGATTGTTTCAAACTGAGCTCAGTCTAAGACCTGCTAGTACCACCACCAATTTTTGCCAGTACCACTTACAAAGCTGTATTACTAAGCTGGTAAGTAGATTTTGGAAGAATCAAATTTATCATTTACTTTTCTGCTGTTTGGATGTTTCTGTTATACATCCAACTCGAAAGCGCTCTCTCTTTTTCGAAACGCTGTTATAACCTGATTTCCGGAATTTCATCTTTAGTTTGCTCTATAAATGTTTCTATGTATCTGATAAATAAATGGTAAATTTTCCTGGCGAAGGACATTTAGAACTGTTACATGTGATTAGAGGTTGCTTCTGTACGTTAATATGGAGCAAGAAAGAAATGGCTAGCTGCGGGAGCTTAAGCACAGAGTTAGGTCGAAAGTTTCTGATAAAACTTAACATAGACCTTAGTTAGAATATAATAAAATTCTGCACAATGACGACAAATATGTATAATAAGTCAGAGGTCTGAGTAAAGAAAGACCTCGATTTATAATACACAAAACAAATAACAGTATTTGTAATATTATATTTGGGTGTCACTTTAATGAACATAGGAAAGGTTTCTCTGATTACTATAGGTTTATTAACTATTGCTATTAAATTTAATTATACAACGCAACTCTAGACTAAATGATTAAATTTGATACAATAGGAAACATTTTCCTCCCTAGTTTTCGATAGCTCAAATGTACCTGCAGAGCTTTGTTTATACCTCCTAACATTCAGATAGTTTAATCTCAGATCTATCATACCATAGATGAAGTTTCATAACTTTGAATAGTAAACGACTAAACTAAAAAGAACAACTTAGATTTTATTAAACAAATGCATAAGGAAGTTCAACTCCAGTTTTGCTATGAGCACAATGTTATTAGGTTGTCTGTATGCGACCGAATTTAAGCAATTCAAAAACAGTTCAGAGTTGTTCTCTTTATAAAAATTAGTTGGATGCTAGTGCAGGAATCAAAATATATAACTATGCGTCCCAGAAATATCTATAGGAAAAAAAAGATTTTTAAATGTAATACATTCGTCAAAAATATGACTAAATGTTTTCAGGAAAAATCAGGTGAACATTGTATTTCGTTTGGACATACAAATGAGGAAATGCACAATGTACGGAAAAAGACGTAGCGGTGGGTCGATTACGTGACTGCATACGGCACTGTCGACCACTTGGTGAGAGTAAATTGAAACTTTCACTCTTTTCAATATAGCTTACAGCAGTATGGATAAGGTGCCCACAAATTATTCAAATTTAAATATACTTCATTAATTACTTACATGGCTTAAAACTTAAGCTGATAGCTGGTCATAAAAAAAGCTCTGCCCAAAAAACATCTTCAAAGATCATCAAACGTGTTAGGATATATCTATTACATTTCACCCAAAGGGGATGGATCTGTCATATGATTGAAATACATATTGAGCATCATAAAACTAATTTTAAGGTTTAAACGAAATTTAAAGTATCCCCATGTGTTGCTGGGCTAATTTCAGGTAATTTTGTTACTAAGTTGTCAGTTTGTATATAGCAGTCCGGCACTGCTCAGACCAGAATTGCCAACACGAGGCCGGTTCGCCAAAAGAGTAAGGGTAGCAATGTTTATTAAGATTGAAGCACCAAGACATATTGGATGTCCCCTTCTTAGGTTGTCCAATGATATTCGATGAAGCTATTAATAAAATTAGGATTAAGGATATCTCATTACTAGAGTTTAGCGAGATATGACTAACATTTTAATTCTTTTTCTGCTCTGTATATGATTTGAAGCATATATTCTGACATAGTAGAGTTCCTACATTGCAGTATGACGCCAAATGTAGTATTGCACAGAAATTTCAGAATGCACTACCGATCGTTGCTATATAGAATAAATAAGCAAAACGCGACAGGAAAATTATTGTTATTAATTCATTGACAAATGTAATCAATTAAATAATCCAGCCTTCGCCTTTATCCAACACTTTTATTTTAGTAATTATGATTTTTTAAAATGACTATAAGATATACATGTGGAAATTACTCATGTAGACGTTTCATAAGGCCTACTGTTGTGCTGCTTCGCTTATCTCTACGATAACTGGGTAGTTTTACTTTAGAAAACCTAGCTTTGTATATTTGTAGTTGACCTTCCTGGAAACCGTAATACTGTATAAATCATTTTTTTTCTACATAATAGGTTTGTGTAAGATCATACCTTTTCGTCTAAGTGCGAAGTTTTAATTCCCAACTTTACATAAGTTCTCCCTAGACAGAGAATGTTAATCCACTGTTTTATCCTTCGAACTCACTGACTTGAATTGGTATGTAACATTCTTTTAATCTGAATTCATAATGAAACACGCTGATTGAGCCACACATTCACTTTTGGCTGAATCGCACTTTTATTTAGCTGTAGTAAGCCAGAAAATTTCGTATTACGTTCTTGATTCTTACATGAGACTTGCCTTTCTTTTATCACTGCGGCTCAGTTATACGTTCCGGGACCGCGATTTGCAATACCTTATAAGCAGTAATTCAACACAGAAATAAATAGGCTAAGAGGCCTGGACGCCACACCGTTGAATTCAACGAAGTAGCTTATCCGTTAGTAATAGAAATTTCCAATAGTCATAGTGCTTACTTAATTTTACTTTTTTCTAAAAAGCATTATTAAAAATCGATTTTTAAAAACAGAGAATGAACATACTATAAGCACAACGGGACTGGTGAAAACAATTCGGCAAAATGCTGTGCTTTTTAAACAGAAAACTGATTATATTATCGGTGTCGGTTAGTTTGGAGAGGCTAAAGAATGGTATTTGGGGTAGTTCATGGTAGAGAGCAAACACGACTTGTATAGTTGAAACGACTGCCTCGGCCACTGACAACAAAATAAAGAATATACTTTTCCTACTGCAGTCACATCATCTAGAGATATTTGCTTGTTTCATGAATGATGCCGGACTGTGGGCGATGGCTTCGTTCATCTCTTCACCGTCCGTTTAACCGCAACCCTCGCCCAGACCTCACCCGCCTGACCAATGGCAATGTCAGCAGGTATCCAGTCGATCCACGGCAGATATCGCTAACGCTTTGACAGTGACAGCTTCGGGCAGTTATCAAAACGCGCCAGGTAGGAAACGAAGGCCTAAGTTACCAATAGAGAGATTTCGGACGATCTGCTCTTTGGCCGATAACGCTGCATAAGGCGTGCATATGTGAGTTCAATGGCGTTTCAAATGCTCATTATCTTAATCGATCCCTGTCTAAAGTAAACATGCACTTGTGTATAAAATCCTCTATACTTTTGATTTTCTGGTCTATTTGTTTACAATGTACAGCTTTACAATGCTCAGAATACTACGGGTCCTAAAAGCGTCACCATTACAGTGTTCACACTACTCGTCTAAGTGTGATATGAAGGAGTCAACCCAAGGTTAGAGGATGGTCAGATCATTTCAACGGGTGAAACGTTGAAACACAAACAGCAATTTCCGAAAGAAGTTCCCCTGTGAAGTTTTACCAATCCAAATTCCTATCATTCTAAGCCAAAATGTTGTTTTAAATTGAATTAAAGCGCACATTAATTAAAACATCGTTGATGCAGCAAGCACTGCAAACATACTCCAATACGAATATTTTCTGGCTCTCGATAATGATATCCGGGAATGTATGGATAAGCAACCATAGAATATAAACTGATTACGTGAGAGCAGCATGTACGTATAGTATTGTTATTATTATTACTATTTTTATATCGTTGTATGAATTAAGGCTCCTGTTTTTCCTCTCCAATAATCAGCAAAGGCGACACGGGGAAGTTCAAATATTAAAAATGCCACGATTTTTTTTGGTTCATTTCGTGATCTAGGACAGCGTCATGAGACTTGGTGTGGAGATAACAATGGATCTGCTATCAATGTCTTGAAGAAACGAAGTATTACCTCGTTTATTTGTTCGCTAAAATGAAGCCAAGATGTGTATCAAAATTCTGATAACTTAAACACTTCAATTAATCTAATTAAAGATCACTGATTTCTCCAGTTGTGCCACAATATCGGGCTTAAGGTGAGAGTGCTGACTTGCGGCGATATAAAGGATAAATTAATCTTGATTGTTTTAAAAAATACGAGTGCAAATCAAGTCAGTATTAAACTTGCGGTACTTTTTAAGGAATATCCGCCGTTACAGAATTTAGTATGTTCTACTATTAAAAAGACTTAGGCTATAGTTTTAATTTAATCGTGACTACGAAATACTGCTTTAGTTTACCAAAGGCATTTTACAAATCCCCAACTGGCGTACCAGATAGGAATCAGTGCTTATTAAATCAAATAGGATTCTAAACATTATGTATTTTGAACGGAAACATGACTTGAGTCATAACAATGCACAATCTCAATGAAAATATACAGATATTTTGTACCGTTTAATAAATGATGAATGAATATCGACTGAAGCTAAAACAGTTAAACCTCAGTAGCGTTTTTGTAATACGAATTTGGCTATCTTGACGTCACTAGGGGTGTCAGCTATTGTAGTCAACATTAGTCAAAGTAGGCGTCTTGTTCGCACATGCTTTATTATAATTTGTCAAGAATATGTAAAGTAATAAAATTCGAGATATCGCAGTCGATAATAAGAAAATTGATCTAGCAACCATTAGTAGCTGTTCACAAACATCGTTGTACAAACCTAAATGAAACTTACTCGCGTATTTCGTGTAGCCTGAAATTTGTGCTTAAAAGAATATTTGTATTAAAGAAATATATGCTGAGAAAGATATCCGTAATTATTCTGAGGCAAATCAAAAAGTCGAGAATTTTGTCTTGTCGAAGACAAACGGAGTATATTCCAAAAATAACGAGACCGTTCGTCTTTTTTGATGCGATAGCAACAATTCTATTACCATTTTAAGGTGTCATAGCAGTGCTGTAACTGGCAGCAATGACAGACCACTACTACGCGTACGAAATTTAGTAATTACTACTAAGATTCTATCTCGTGTCTCTCTATCGCTAAGATTGTTTTTTTTGTGTGTTTGAAAATACATCTACTCACGCTTACTTTTATTCAATCGTTATTCAATAGATGGATTTTAGGGCCAAATAGCATTTTTGATGGTTACCCTTATGTGAAGAAGCTGGGAATCCAGGTCGCCTGACCTCTCTTGAAACTTTCTGGATATCGTTCCACTTGTCGGCATCATGATAGCTCTCCCAGTTTGAATTAATTGCCTTTTTTGACAGTACTCCGTATTGAAACAGTAAGAAAAGACACTTTCCAGTTTCTCCTTTGCCGAGAGTTTAGAAAGCTACTTTCAATAAATGTGGTGTGTAGGCAATCGCGTGAAATCCTTCATTTTTAATGCTTCGACATTGCTAAATCAGAGTAAAGTTGTTCCGCTGAGGTTTTCTATAGTAATTTATATATATTCGTCTAGTTTTATAAAACTAGACTTAGGCGTAACGCTGATTCTTTAACGTGGAATAGGACCGTTCACGTGTTAGTTTTTTGGTATGAATTTGTTAAAACATTACTTCAGCTTGGTTTTGATTTCTGATTATATTACACAACTGATTATATTACAAAACCTCATTGCGACAATAATCTATGATTAATTAAAATTTGTATAACCCTAACTATAGCTATATTACATTGGCACTTATGCGCTACAGTTATCTGTAAATATATCCAAGACTTCTTGTAGAAGCTTTTTATCTCTAGCTTGGCCCAAATTCCACACTGGCGCTGCGTAGATTGTAACCGGTGCAACATATTACAGGATAGTTTGACGTATAAGTTGAGGTATCTAATCAAAAAAGTCTACAGTTGCTACATCGTGCCGTATGTTCCGAACGACAGCTAGATTTTCAACTGCGTTCTATGACCTTATATTTACACCGCCTATGTTGTATTCTTGCTTTGAATTTCCATGGTCTAAGTGTAAAACGGAGTAGTTTTCGACAGATATTCTTGGATCAAATCGTTTATCTTGACCTTGCTGCGTAACAGATTTTCTCTGTAAATTTTACATGTCTGTACATCATCTGCGTATATTTTTACCGACTGTGACAGCGGCATTGTGTATATTAGAGAGTTCATATATGGGGCCTATTATTGTACCTTAAAGATATCCAGACCTTACAGTAGCACACTCAAAATATTGACCGTATACCGAACTGACATGAATATATATAAGCACAAACTTCAGGAGTTCTATTGCTGAGGAAGTTTTCAAGCCAAGCTACTAGAAATCTTTATGCTTTAAATTACTGAAAAAGTCAGCAACTTTAAAATCAAAGAATATAGCTTCAAAGCATTGAGTTACGTTGCACTTGGTCCTATTCGAGTTGTATCCAATATCTGGAATACTGTATTGTGTTCTGGTCTGTAGGCGAATTGTGGGTCCGATATTAGCCCCTGTGCATTGGCACTTTTGCATGTATTGAGCTACGATACTTTTTAGGACGTTGCATGCTAGAGATGCTAACGATACCGGTTATACATTGCAGGGGTTTGTACTTGAGCTGTCCTAAGTATTTCTAGTACATCTCTTTTACCGAGCCATCTTTAAAAAACTTATGGGGGTACTGTGCGTACTGACAGCCCAAACTTCTTCATTACAATAAAGAAAGGTACATCTTGTGTTTTGTGTGTTTGATTAACATTGCTCGGTATTGCGTCAATGTGTTGCAGACTTATGAGTTCTTGCCGTTCCTGGGTCAACGTCGTCATGTAATTCAGTAGTTTCTGGGTTAGCCCGATCGGTAACAACTAGACCTATATCGACCGTATTATCTTACTGAAAAAAATAATCCTCCACGCGATTACCTTAGAGCGGTAGTCCTGACCTCTTCGCATGAAAAGTCTTTTTTCACTAAAATAAGCACGCTCCACCGCGCGAGAACCTGTTTTAAACCCCTATAAACTACTTACATCGCAAAGTTTGCACCATTAACAGAAAGCCATAACCCCGTAATGAATGGTAAGTCTATTTTTTGTTTCTCTAGACAGAAATTAAAATTATAGATTATTCCGTTTTTTTTTTTTTACAATAAGCCGGCATTCAAATAAGTACAACAAAGGGTTATCATTATTATTTAAATAGAATCGGGTTGATGATAATCATGTGGATTTAACCGGATACATGTACAAAGTACTGTTGATGGAAAGGATCCTGTCTTCAGGTAGTAAGCCGCGATAAAGAAATATTTCTACGTCCCAGATAGAATACAAACTACACTGCTGTAGCCAACGTTTAAAACTTCGGTTTAGAACCTAGCTTTACTTCTGAGTTCTGAGTTGCTTCTCTGAGATTATATACACTTCTCCGCGGATTTTAGGTAATTATACAGTCCTTCGGTAGTTATACAACCTCTTTATGTTCATCCAAGTTTCAGTTATTAGCAATTTCGGTGGGCTAGCACTGTTACTTTTGTATATCCCTTCTATTAATATTTGCTCCTTTTTTTATCTCTTTTAGATCTAATACACGATTGAGTGGTTTCGCTGGCACCTCGATTCTGTCGTCGCTTCATCTTGCGGCCAATCGCGTGTCGACTGCGACTTTCTAAACAGCTTCTATGCAAAGTTCCATTGACATAGGGTTTCATGCCATTCTATTAACCTACCATGAGTTTCTGTAAGCCCTTCCATTAATATCTGCGTTCTTTCGTTTTCTTACTAAAGTTTTTTTCATTTGCTTTCTAAGCTTTCTTTCTTCAAACAAAAGTTTTTATTTAAATCAAATAAATTACAAAAATACATTATAAAGAGAAGCTTACAAACTCACAGCACAGGAATTTCGCGGCATTTCTTGGGTGTTTCCGGAAAGCTGCGCTGTCAGACAATAGTAATTTTTCTTAATTAGACTCACTGTTGAGATTTTAAGGCTTGCTTGAGCTATTACCTTTGATCCTTAATTTACTCACGCAATAACATAATAACTATAAGTTCAAGTTAAAAAAGCACCTGTAATTTCTTAAACTTAAGCCTATAGCTGCCCCTGACCTGTATATGCATACATATTTCACCAAAATCAAGAAGCTCTACATCAGCGAAAAGTCGAGAAAGCTCTTGACTTTTATCTTGGAACCCTGTTACGTTGCCTGAAAGTTTTCTTGTAATATCCATCTGGCTGTCCTGCATCAATCTTGCTAAAAAGCTGAGAAGGCTCCAAACTTTTTTTTTACTAATAGCTAAATAAACATACACAAGAAATCGAGAGATCGAAACACATAAAACGTTCAGCCCTTCGATTTTAGATGTCTAGCTCCATCTTAATTTAGACGGATATGTATAACTATACGTTATAATAATTTAAGTTTTCAGCTCAAATGGTTTACGTTATATCTTTGCAACGTATAATTTATTCTCTACTGAATTCAGGTATGTGCTGTTATTTTTGTTGAATCAAAGCGGATCATGTATATCATATTTATATTATGCCACACTTTTATAAAAACCCTTTAATTTCGACTTCACTATGTGTGACTACATAATATATTTGACAGAACCACGGCAAAAACAGAAAAATGTCTATGGCTCAGGCTTAACAGAAGAACATCAATGTTCTATTTGACATGTGACAAATACTACAAACACAATTCTATATATATATATATATATATATATATATATATATATATATATGATCACTGAGCGTATATATACTCTCAGTGATCATCAGTTTATTGAGATAGCAAATATTGAATTTGACGAAAAAAGTGCAAGAGCATAACTTGCTGGCAACCTGGTAAGTACTTTTGCTCATGCAGATAACTATATTTTACAATTTTTGTCTATGAAAGAAGGTTCTATAGTCTGTCACATTAAATAAATCTCTTATTTTTCTCTCTAAAGTTTGCACTTATCAACTAACTTACGTCTTTTGATATATCTAGTCAATGTTTGTGTTTAATTACTGAGGTTACTAATGTGTCAGTACCATGCACAGATCCATATAGCTCACCTTTACATCTGTTATTTACTTTAGTTACTACATAATAAGATGATTCTATCGGTATTTTAGAGCATATATATGTAGGTAAACTATATCAGGAGCGAGTAACAGCAGGGGGAGAGCATATCTACCAGAATAAATACTGCACGGTGTAAAATTATAAATACGTTCTAATAAATAATATTCGAAGGCACATATTGTCATTACTCGGCGACACAAGATATCATCGCCGCGCATTCTCACGGACTGAATCGCGGCAGACAGAAGCTTTTTTTTAGTAGATAGATTTTTATAGATTTAAGTTCATATAATTTAAACAGTTTTGATGTTCTAAAAAGGAGTGGCGTATTCTACCATCGATTCTCTCAAACAAAACACAGACAATGAGATTAGGTATAATAATGCAAGCTACAAATACATAGAGAAGCTTTCAGTGCTCATCTCAATGCATAAACAGATGAGAAAAGATGTACTTAACATATACAGACATGGTGTCGTTCTATATTATGCATTAAAAGTTACGCAAGTTTTCGACCTGTTAAATAGTTGTGGACGTTTGACTAATGTTTGACACGTTATTTTAGAAGATGTGCATATACAAAAATACCTTCCTTGCCCTGGCTTGTTCATGTCCGCCATCTTTGTTGATACGTACATATATTCCGCTCACTCTGTTGGTCTTGATGATGAATTCGGCAGTTTATATAATTTGATTGTTGCTAAAAGGTGGATATATATATTTAATCACCGCCTTCTGAGCAACAATCAAAAAATTGAAACTGGCCATTTCTTAATTCCTTTTTGTAAATATTTCTTCGCTAGGTAGTTGAAAAATTCTTCTCAATGTTATACACTAAAATATACACAATGATATCTAAGCGGGCCGCTAAACTCATTGTACTTACCACAAACTTTCCACAAAAGATATGGTCAGAAAATCTAAGATTATTTCTTGATCATCTTAACCAATAGTCGCAACAGGTCTTAAAAGAATTTATATATTGTAATGGCCATAAGAACAGTGATGAGAACACAGATGGGCAAAATCATGCCATGTATGTATAGGGAATTCCGTATTTGAGATACAAACGGAGCTGTCTACTATTAATGGAAATGCCAGCTATCCATAAAAAAACAAGCAACTACATAAACATATTTAGCGTTATAAAAAGTACTTCGCTTTATCTGTTTCACTTGTTTAAATTTATTTATACCTTGATCACAGTATACATATGCCATAGCAATTAGAGCCGGTTGCCTCACGGCAACATAAAATAGAGATGACTTTCCTTTGATGTGAATTAATGTTACGTTAATCTAAGAAACTAAAATAAGATTTTTATTACCATACATAGTATGTGGTCTTAAAGGTACACATGGGTCTTCCAATAGGAGTGGAACCACGCGTATGGTGAAGTTTACCTTAACTGTGCTTTCGCGGCGGGATTTGTTTAAGTCGTCACTTCGCTAAAGGTCTAAATGCGGCACTCATAAAGTGTTTATTTTGAACGTATTGGTAAACTTTGATTGAATCTTCTTAGCTCATCTTGAACTAGATTGTCCTAATAACCATAATTTTTAACGTCCCTAACTTACCCAAACCGAGTTGAATTTCATTTAAAAAAAAATATCCAGCTCATTTAGAAAAGAAAAGGCTGAACCTCATAAATTTGTTTTCAAAAGCTAAGAGAGATGGCCTCTATGTTTCGAATTTTACGTATGGTATCCCAGTTAACAGAAAACGAAGTCTGCTTCAAAATTGTACCACACCGTATCCTAATGGTTAGCCTACAAATATGTTACCCACCGAGATATCACAGAAGATGGCCTAACGTATCTGTCCTCTCCTATCTCACTTTATACTTAAAGGACTTAAAACGCTGCTATAATCTATTTACCGACAACAAGCCGACGTTGAAAGCAGGAGTTCGACGACCATTGAATTTTGTACTCTTTTGAACACAATAAGCATAAGGAAGATTTCTTGCAAACTTAATTTATTCAATTATTATTTAATGATTATTTAAAATAAAAGTAATTGTATTGTTTCATCTTGATACAATTCTTTAATGAACGATTTCGAATAATTTTATCTGCCCCTGTGATACAGAGTAGAAATTCTATAAAAAAGTATAACATTTAAAAAGGAGTGTTCAATTATAACGTCTGTTCAAAAAAATAAATTTTTCGTTTTCACAAGATCCATATTTTATACATCAGAATGCTTTTGCAAGTTATGATAAATGCAGAATAGGATAACCGTGGGTAATTTTTTCATTCGTTACGGCCAGTACAGTTCATATGCATCACGAGAAATCTGAGAGGAGGCAGATATTCTTGCACCTTTATCTATACTGACATTGTTCGGCTTATTTTTTTAACGCTTTCTGCTATTCTTTCTGTGTGAATAAATTTTCGGAATCATATTTTCTGTATAGAATTAAAGATTAGCTGAGACGGATCTTGGTGGACTCTGCTAAGGTCCTATGAGACAACACGGTACCGTTTTACCAACGCTGAAGTTAGAAGCAGAAATAGCCGCATGTTTATGACTATTACAGTAACGTACCCGAAGAGATGCACATTATTTATCTAAAATACTCTGGCCCTCGGCTTATTTTGTTGAATATTTTAACTGCAGCTTATGGCAGATGCACTCGAATTAAATCTCAAATAATATTTGCATATATTCGAATAGTTAATAGTAAAGACGTGATGTCACAAAATTTTTTCAGGAATACTTATAACTATAAACCTAATTCAGATCAGCATCATTTTTTCAAAGATTCGCTTCCCTTCAGCCAGGCTTTTTGGTAGTTTTAGTCCGACCATAACTGTAGCCTAAATAAAGTAGTGATTGCTGCTAGAGGGGATTAAAGATGTAAATAAATAACTCTGCATTAGAAGAGAGTTGCACATATTCAGTGCATTGTTTTTACCACGATGAAGTAGAAAATTTAAGAATGCGATTATTCTTCGTTTTTTTTTTTATTTGTACACGCACTAACACGCGACTGTTGAACACATAAAGGAAGTATTCAAAACATAAAGCAATCCTGTGGGGGCCAAAAAAAACGAGCACGATTTTAGTGCAATTTTGGCATTTTCTAAGAGCACTCCTCATAAATCTTTCCCCCTTCTTTTTTATGTCAATACAAACAAGTATACACCAAGTATCTTTAAGAGTCGTTGAATTTTGATTCTCGTAGAAAGTCTGGTTGAGGATGGCGTTGATTTTTACATGCCCTGGCCGTACTGTACATGAATCGACGCATAAGACAAAACATAAATGTTTCGAAACAAACATGTTTCGATTATGCAATCGAGTCTCAATGCCGTTAAGAAAACTTTAGCATCGTTGCTTACGAAGTGAGGTATTAGCGCAGCAAAAAACAATATGCCTTAAGTTATAATCGAAACGATGTAAGCTAAGGATAATGCCTTTAATAATGCATTATATGTATAATGGTTACTTAATGCAACAGTGGGTTTTCAATACCTTGACAATGGCCGTGGTGTATGTACTTAGACGATTCGTTTCATCGCCGGATTATGTCATTGAAACAATTTGTAATTCATTTTTAATATTCCCATAAAATACACCCTTTGCTTCAATGAATCAAGGCTTACATGATAACGCAAATATATCTTAATTAAATGAACGGTTTTAATTTTTAAGCGAACTGGCATTGTTCGCCTTATTGACAGTTTGAGGATTATACTTTTTCTATTTATGCCGTAACGTAATCTTTGTTTTGGTGCCTAAGTGAAGCGAGTACTAATTAGTAACTGCACTGTTCGTGTAAATAGTCTACGGGGAACTCTAAATTTAGGAAATAATCATTATGATCGTTGGTCCACTATTACTTACGGTGCAAAAATGTCATATACTATGTACCATAGACGAACATGATACACAACTATTTTCTACCTGGCAAAAAAGATTCGAAATACATTAATAAATCTCTGATATATTTTTAGCACAATTTTGTTGCAGCCACTGCGGCAAGACTGTGCATAATATGTATGAACGTATCCCTCTCTTGCCCAGACTGCGATAAAATCGACTGCAGTGATGGATGGTCTGTCTACAACTACAATGAGAAAATGCGATGAAACCCCACGAAGGTGATCCCTTGCGCAAATCAGGTTACTAGCACCAATATACCCATCGCTCTGAATGTATATAAAGTAGGGTCCCCTTCAGAGTAACTAGTGTATATTCGTGAATATATTAGAGCGAACATGCACATTCAATCGATACTCTCTGCGCAAAAATGTTTATAACACACACACACACACACATAGCTGTTCCTCTATCATAGATAGACTAGCTGTCGACAACAATCTGTACTTCGAAGACCAGTCATGCATTACCTGTACTCATACAGGATAGTATTAGCCTTGAAAGTGTACTTGACATTGATAGGACACTGTAGTATTATCAGAGTCCAGAAGATTTTACCCGGTTTTTCAGTCGATCTAAAATTTCTAGAACCCATAGGGATGCGATTTTAAAACCTACTTTTGTGAATCTACTTATATACATAACTGCTTCGACTTCATTATTGTTAACTTCACTAGTTCACCAAGGCCCGCCCATATGACCCTCACGTGTTCTGTGTCTCATATCATAGCGAGAACGAAGTATTCACCAGGCCTAATATGCGAGCATAAGCTTTACTGGACTGTGAGCGCCCGCTTCGGCTAAGAGGTGCCGAATTGTTGGACTCAGCAGATATCATTCGTCCAACTCGATACTGGGCCTACTCTAGCTTCATCCGAAATACACGCTGCGCTCACCGACAAGCTCCGACAGATGGATCGGGCCTCGCGACCTTCAACTACCCAGCCGAAACAATGCCGTCGGTATACCTTACGGTATTTTGACGAGGCCTTTTTTACCGAATTATTTAGGTTACATACATATTACTAACTTAAGTAGGGTACAATTTGTGTGAAATATAATTGTTTATACTTTTTGTATATATCCTTTTTAAGGAACGGCATGATTGCTTGCACCATTTACCCACTGTCTCTTGATAAGTTCATTTTATATGAAATCTTCAGAAAGGTAATTGTTTTTGGTTGTGGTTATAACTTCACATTAGGTGAGTACCACAATTGAATCGTCTTTAAATCCAGTCCAGAGACTTTCCGCTCCGTATTTCACTTATCCATGGTAAATAATACTTTTTTAATAAAGATCTTGCTTTGCTATACGATTAGCTTTTGTGAATAAAACTAACTTAAATGAAAACCTGTCTGCAAATAGAAGCTTGGCCTTACGTCGACTCTACGTATGGAGTAATTGACTGAAGATTCAATTCTTATACTTTTTTAATCACATAGTTAAATCGGATTATCACTTTACATTAGTTCTTTAACAACAGTGTATTATGCATAGCGTGGATATTTTGTATTATGAGCGTGTGTCATCTGGCAGATGCGTACGTTGGTTGGTGGGAACCAGGGGGCCCTAGCAACTGGTAACTTCGTCCGCTGTGAGAACCCCTCTAGTGAGCTGATCTGAAGTGATCGTTTAAATTACAAGCCCGTTACGAGCTCCCCTCAACCTACCGTCTGTTCAAGTCGACGCACTACCAATGCAATCTCGCATCTCCCCAATAGGGTAATATTGGAGCAGCGATGCGGAGGGAGGAACGAAATGCCTAGTAGCCAGGTAATCATTATCGACTGATTACAAAGCGGCATGAATGTCTAGAAGACTACCAAAACCAAATGACTTTGATCCAAAAGACCCTTTTGATATGCTTTAGTTCGTTACATGAATCAGGTTCATTACAAAAATATTAATGACGAGATCATTGTTTTATCCTATGGGAGGTTTGTTGCAAAAATGTTTTTATTTATTATAAAAAACAGGATTTAAGGAGTAGGTCTGAAAATACTCTAAATGTATTCGTCAAATGCATAAGAGGCTACAATCGGCTTTTGGAAACGAACTTTTGATAAAATTTGATTTGTCGCCCAACTAGGAAATACGAGGTAATGAATCTAATATTAGGTAGCAACTTCAGCGTAATTTTATTGAAAGTTATGCTGAAGTTGCTACCTTTAGTCTTATATACAATGGCAATAAGAGTAGTCATGCAAATTATTGAATATTTAAATTATTGAATAAACTGGAGGCAGACAAAACAGGAAAAGAAACGAAAGAACGAAGGAAATGTATTTTATGTTCCCTGCGAAAGCAATCTCTAAAATATTCGTTTATTTTCACTAAAATAGACATCGTATTAGCACAGGCTGATGATGATGGTGATGATGATGAATCGCCTTAAAATCACATTTCCAATAAACGATTATGGAATAGCGATAAGAATACAATTAGCGGCTTTTCGAACTTTTGCAATCTACATTGCTTCCCTTTTACCAACTGTACTAGGGGTAAGAATTGTGCTAATGACAAGCTTTTAGTGAACTACTGAGTACCTCGAAAAGCAAAATTGAATTTACTAAGTTCCCAAGAGCAAAGCCGGCTATATCTGAAATTCTACAATGCGCACAAAATAATGTAAAAGCTGTACTTACGGATGACTTTCCACCACCACACCGAAATGACCTCCAAATGTCGTGCACTGAATCTTCGTGTCGGTCTAAAACATGTTTAGTCCATTAAAAGAATAATTAAAGAAGAATTCCTTGAACAGGCAATGTGTAGACTGCTTACACTTAATGGATAGCAAATGCTTAACATTTTCTATTCTGTTAAGCCATGTTCCATCGCTTGCTTTCCTGACCGGTGGATTCTGACAGCGTTCAATGCATACAGGGCCCACACAGTGATAAATAATCAAAGCGACAGTGACATCGCTTAATGTATACGTTTCAATACTCCTTCAGGAAGAGCGCGCCCTATTGAGTGTATTAGATGCATCAGTTTACTACCAGTTAGCCTAGTCTCGAGGAGATCGGCTGCCGAATGCGCGCAGCTCAAAGTGGCCCCGCGCTTTTCAAGCCGCCCTTTCCCATTGAGACCTCACTGTTGGCGCTGGCCCCGCCAGCTTGTTCGAAGCAATAGCCTCAGCTGCCTGAAGCAGCTGCAGAATTCGACTCGAACATTGAGCACCGATAAGGTGAGTGGAGCTGAGACTGCGGCAAGACCAGTAAGCTGTCAGTGAGATGACGATGACTACGCCCAAAAAGATCTCCTCACTACCCAAACTGCTCAGGGCACCATTATGGATATGAACAGGGCGATTCGGATGCATGCCAAAACCAACTGGTTTTGTCGGCCCCTTCTCCCTCTGCCTGAAGCCATGGTGAAGTAATGAATGAGAACGAAGTATGCACCAGAACTGGATACCGAGCGGCAAGCTACAGAATGCCAACCGTTGTGCAACGAACTTCAGAATCAACGGGGGAGGGGGAGAGAATTTGCGAATAAAAGTCTGTCGAGAGAATGAGAGAGTCGTCGGCCGAAAAACTCTCTCGAGGCAGCTGCGACGAAGAGAGAAAACGAAAAAGAGAGCATCTATCCTCATCCGTAGCAAAGTATGCAGAGTCGGTTGTATTTATTGGAAAGGTAGAGTCAATAGGGTTGGAAGCACCAGTATGAAAGTACCTCCTCTCTTAAAGGGTGTTGTGTAATAACAGCTCGAAGATTATAATAAGAGCAATACAAATAATAGCCCTGAAATATATACTCCTCTTTATTACGCATATTTGTATACTTCGCCTATTACTGGCAGTCGGATTATAGTCTTGGGTGTACCGCTAATACAACCGGAAGTAGTCGATTCAATTTATAAATGCCAAATTTTCATATCGATATTTTATTACCGTAAATTAGATCAGAATTACATCGGTTTATTGTATATTTATTTATATAATAACCACTTGAAAATCCTATGTCATAAGCATACTTTTTCAGTGGTCCTATTGTAATCCCTATTTAAAAAACCCATTCCCTATTCCTGTAAGAAGGAGATTTAAGAACATGTGGGAAAACACACTGATTGCGGGAAGCTAGTCGATTGGCTAGTTAAGTTAGACGCCTGTTTTAAATTGCTTGGCAAGGTTTGAGTTATGAATTGTTACAAGAAAACTTTAATAAATAAAGGTTCGTTCGTATTCTGGGGTTTAAAATACAGCAAAACTATAGGGCATATATTACAAGTAATATCTTGACAAAATAGCTCACAGAACGTGTTGCGTCGGCAGACATACATATAGGCTACGGATAAGCGTTTTATTTGGCTCTTCATAAGCCGTCTACTACCTCGTTATGAAGACGGTCGATTCGGTTTTCATAACCAACGCTTGCAGAAACTAGTTCTCAGCTTTAGGCTCATGTCAGATTTACTCTTTACCCGTGGATTCGCTGCTTTCATAATGCTGTTTGTTTCTTCTTGCTATAGTTCTACGCTGTTTCATTGTAAAGAGATCCTAAAATTTGAGTTCTTCAGTGAGTTTAATAATATATATATATATATATATATATTATATATATCTTATATATATATATATATATATAAGGCTTTGCTAAATTTTGTTTTAATTACCGCAAAATATAGATATGTCTGAAACTAAATGTTTGGAATGTTTTAGTCGACTTACTATATAACCTACTGAGAAAGAAGTTTTCCCTCGCTGCGATTTGCATCAGAGAGCCTTAGATGGTACGGTCTACCTATCTATATAATATTAGCATAAAGTGTTTAGCAAACAAAAGACTTATGTTATCCTGTTGTTTGGAATATCCGGACATTAATATTAAAACGTAGATTGAGCTAACAACCAAGACAGTATATTATTACTAGCAAGATAATAAATTATAGTAAGGCGCCGTATACAACTTTAAGCGAAGGCCGCCAAAGAACAATAGGTAAAAAGTAGCCTCAATAACTAAACTAGCGCAGTTACTAAAAAATACGCAGCTTTTGTTAACTTGATGTGAGGCAACTGCCGAGCTTTTTTTTGAATTGATCCATTCTGTGTTTACGTTTTCCTTAAGTTTTTGGAGCCTGGATTCCAAGAATGTCAGTGTATATCTAGTGGAAAATGCATTTCAGCTTTTGCCATATTCTTATTAGTTACTGCGTAAGGAAGGTTATCAAAATACCTGACAGAAGAATTGATTTCTAAAGGCGTTTGCATGTATGTTTTTATATATATAATAGTTCAAAATTTTGCAGAAACGTGACAGCTGGTCACGTCAAGATATACCTATCCGGGGTACTATTTCAAACTAGTGTGTAAATTCTTAACTAAAAAATGCGAAAAAAAAAGAGCGTTCCGAAAGCTTGCGGTGAATATACATACTAAGTATTGTCTTTATTATTTTCAAACAGAACAAGAAACATAGGTTAACACCTATAACACCATACAATCATAATTTATTAAAACTTAAATATCCAGTATACGTCAGTCCTCATTATGACAAACAAAATAATTTTTCGATTTTCAAACTTCGGTTAGCTCGCCACTATCCTATCGCGCTGCACAGTAGAGCTCTTATCCCTTTTAGCTTTTGCCATTAATAAAAATAAACATATTTGAAGTTTGGAATCGGTTGTCATGTGGGCCTCACTACCTTTGCTATGCTCTATATATAGCGAGTTGAACGGTGCGACTTGCACATCGTGGGGCCCCTGGTCCCGTCCTTACAGCGAAAAATTCTAGCTACATCTGGCTCGTCCGTATCGAACGCGGGACATACGCAAACCCAATCCACCATAGAATTCTCTAAGGGGAGGAGCTCGTTCTCAACATAGCGCCTATTTAAAATTTACCTATCCGCTAACAAAGCAGTTGTCTTTTATGCCCTGCTTCATTATCCGTTGAGAGGCTCTATGACGGAATGATCGACATAGAATAGCCAACAACGCAGTTAATTAATTTACAAATTGCAAGTATATTTGAATGATGATTTCGCACAAGCTCCCAGGTGATGTGCGCCCTAACTGCTGTAAAAGTGAAGTTTCAATCATGGCTAATTACACATGCTTCATGAAGCGCTAAACAAAAAGTTCTTCGATTTTTGTGTCACTTTAAGCTGTACGCATACTGCTTATTTTTAATTAAAAATAATTTTTCCTGGACTTTTCTCAAACACAGGGACCCGTTATAATTAAATACAGAAGTCCCAAAAGAACCTGAAGATGATCTTGCATGATTAGACCTCTGCATCTTGCTACTGTAGAGCAGCTAGCCTCACTCATGGCGTCTATGCCATTATGGGTGTTCTCCTGTATAGCTGTCAAGCTATATCATTTCATTGTATTAGGTCCATCCTTTGTCCCACTACGGCTATTATCCGGTTATTCCGTTTCAGTCACCTGGTTGTCCAGTTGCAACTATGACATCACACTGTGGGTGTCGTATATTTCTTAACAATTATAAGCGTAAACTCTAAATATAAACGATATTTCACTTCCTAAATAACTATTTTGTTGTGGTAGTAGGGTAGAATCTTGTTCTTCATTATCGGCCTGCGCGCCTTAACAGGCGTAGACAAACAAAAATAGGGTCTAAACAAACCATGTATATTTGTAACTCATAGTGTAAAATTTTTTTATGAAATAAATATATCGATTTGCGTGGGGAAGAAGTGGCCTTTTTGCTCCATCGGTGGTATGCTGGTGTACGGAACATGGTAAGCTGTTTTTCCTTAAAAATATGTATTGTTGAAATATGTAGCGTTTGATCTCGGCTACAGCTAATGTGTACGTCCACACCACATCTACTACTCGGGACTCTGCATATAGGCAATGGCAATGCTAGGTTCTAATCAGTGTTTATTTCATGCGCATGATATTTCATGGTAAAATCATGCGTAACACTTTTCAAGAACAATATTTAGACGTTTTGTAGTAGGAAAAGGTGTATATGTATATATCCATTTATATAATCCCATTGTTTCATCTAAACGTTTGTTTTGTTCCTCGCTATTGCAATTACATTCGATAAAATATTAGCCTTCGTTTGAAGGTGTGCAGTTTTAAAACGATTATACTGAAGATGTTAGTTGAAGTACTATCGAATGTTATACTAAAATGAAATGCATCTTCATCCAATTGTACAAAGCAGATCTTACGAATCATTAGTTGGAGTTCCACACACTCCAAGCATAAATTATCTAAGTTATACAGCAACCGAAACAAGCCTTGCTTCAAGTTCGTTTTCCTCGATTTAGAAGCGCCTTTTATACAGGGTGTAACAGTTGAACTTGAAGCAATTGCATTGAAATATTTGCTGCATAATAACGCGGTCGTCCGGTTAACACATGACTTAATGGTCATCTTTCTAGAACGACAATGCAAATACGCAATCATGAAGTTACAGGAATCGCGTTCCGGGTATTGTACAAAGAAAGCGCTGCTTCGAGCTATTGGGCCGGAACTACAAATCTCTTCAGTTGCCTTAAGACAACGATTTATATTATTATTATTATATATATCCATGCCATGTAGCTTTTTCTAACAACTTGAAGAGCTCTTTTATGAGCTAAACTAGAACAAATAGATACACAAAACTTAATGAAATATTAACAAAAATGTGCCCCGTATCGTATTGATGGTACGGTATTTAGCTACTAATCTTTTGAAAACGAGCATCCCGTATGGTTTATGAAAATGCTTTTGTAAGGGAGGGTGAAGCTATAAAGGCCAAAACTAGTTCACAGCTATTGTTGAAAACAATCAGTGCCTTCAGAGAGAAAATATTATATATTTTTCAGACTTTTTTAGTATCCAGTTTAAAAGTACTTACTAGTTTTGGATAAAAAAACTAATTGAAAGTACCTATGACGTTAGTCTATATAGCATTATATAGTGAAAAGAAGTTAGTCATTCTAGAAAAAAAGGCTTCGATTATTGGAAGACAAGACGATGTTTTATAACCATTTACTGCCGAATTAGGCTAGTCAAAGGGTATGGCTTGTCGACCATAGGTCCATAACGCAAAGCTGGATTTCGAATGGTCCAATTACTAGTGGATCTACAAGATACATTCTGTCTGGGACGTAAAGAGGAACAGGAACAACATGCGCGTTGTTCTCCAGCGTTCTAACTTGAGCGCAGAGGATATAAGTCCATATTACTATCGTAACTATGCTTGATTCTGCTATAAATAATTATACATGCTAAGTTATAATCCTTAATCGTGACTATATGCACTGTGGTGCGTCTGTCAATTACAATTTCTGTCTGTGAAGTTATCGGTAGTGTTTTCGAAAACCGCCGCATGTGATACGTTGCTGATAACAACGATGTAGTGCAAAAAGTGCAAAAATATGATACTTTAATTTAACTTGACATATACGTCAAGTTAAATATATATATATATATATATATATATACATATATATATATGCATTCTCGCTAACCTGCATTATAGTCTGAGCTATTTAGACCTTTCAGTTCCTCTGTAAACCTAGTGTAGACGGCATCTGGTTTCATACATGGTTTAAATGGAGCGATCACTGCAATCTTACTCCTAGCCCATGTAACCCGTAGTGTGACAGAATAATATAACTAATAACTTTTAATAACTAATAACCCTAAACAGACGAAACTTTTTTGAAAAATAAGATGGTTATTTCAAGAACAAAGTTTATAACGTTGACTATCCCATACAACTTCATCTTCTA